ATCAATAAGCATGATTTGGAACCAGAGGATCTGAGTTTGTATATCAGCTGTGCTGTGTACCCTTGGTCATGTGTCCTCATTTCTCTAGAGCCTCGTCTATAAAAATGAGGTCAATATGTTTGCCCTTCTGGGTTAATATAAAGTTTAAATCAAAGTCATTAGGATAGTTTGGCATATGCACTAGCTATTACTGATCTGATTCTTACTTTCCCTTCTCTTATCCAAAGTATAGGACATCAGATGATGTCTATATATGTGTGTGTGTGTGTGTGTGTGTGTGTGTGTGTGTGTGTGTGTGTGTGTGTGTGTGTGTGTGTGTATTTATTTTGGTCAGAGGATATGGAGACTCGGATTCTTTTAGGCTACTCTCTTACCTAATGTTAATCAGCATCCTAGCTTTTCATGTCTGGAAGGGTTAGTAGACTCTAACCTTACCACTCCTTATTTAAAACATGCTATTTAAATTTTATTGAACAGTCCTTTTTTTTTCTTAGCACTCACAGGAATTATTCTCTACAGACATCTGAAAGACTACCTTCTAACTGAAGAACAGTTACATGAAAATAACTATCCTCAGCCCAACCCTGACAAACCAGGAAGTATTCTTTTCACCTCAGGCATGACAAAAGCACTTGTAAATGACAGTAAGTATGTGGGACCGAAAATGATCCTCGCTACTTACTAAGGTTGGAACACTGAAAGGATTATTTCCCTTTCCACTTCAAGTATCTAAGTGGTATATCTTATTTTCATAATTTATTTTATTAAATCTTAATCATTTCAGGTAAGTATGAGCATTACGTCCATTCACAGGTCAAATGACTTGTCAAAGATCCCTCTGAAAATAAATGGTAGAGCCAGGATTTGAACCCAAGGACTCTGATTCGAGAGTCCCTACTCCTAACTATTCATACACATACGCAGTGTCATGTTTTGAATACTTTGTATCCTTTCATTAGGAATTCTTATCAAAAGATTTACAATTGGGGGGGCGCCTGGGTGGCTCAGTCGTTAAGGGTCTGCCTTTGGCTCAGGTCATGATCGCAGGGTCCTGGGATCGAGCCCCACATCGGGCTCCCTGCTCCGCGGGAAGCCTGCTTCTCCCTCTCTCACTCTCCCTGTTTGTGTTCCCTCTCTTGCTGTCTCTCTCTCTCTGTTAAATAAATAAAATCTTTTTAAAAAAGAAGATTTACAGTTGGTATTATTATTACACGTTTTCTCTAAATGCTAGGTATGGTTAGTTAAAACTCATTCCTCCCCCGCCAAAAAAAGAAAATATAGGATACTTAACACCACAACTGTCAAATCTTAGGTCCATTCGAGTTTGCAATGCAGTTGCAGGAATATTTTTCAGTGACTACAAAATATTTATCTTTGGTATCTTTAGAATTTTTCTCAGGATTATCTTCACCATTTGTGATACCTTTTTTGTTTGTTTGTTTTTCCTAAACCCTTACCCCAGTTAAGAACATGGGCTCCGAAGGAGGAAGGCAGATCTGGGTTTGGATGCTGGTTGGATGTGGATAAGTCATTTAACCTCTCCCAGCTTTGGTTTTCCCAGTTCTGGATAATAGTAGCTACCCCATCAGCTTGTGGTGAGACTCTATCCCGGGAATGCGTGTTAAATGCTTGGCACAGTGCGAGCCTCAGAAGCTCACAGTAGACATTCAGATAAGAGTTGCTTTCATCATCGGAGCCAGTTTGAGGAATATTATTCATAAATGGGTCTAGTGAAAAGCTCAGATATACGCTCAGCGACTTAATATATACAGGTCACTGTATGTCTAAAAGGGATAAAATAATAAGACTTGCTTATTTCAGGAGCTACTGTGTACTAACAGATAATTAATCAAGTTGGATACAGTCAGACTGTGGTGCTAATGCCACAATTATCTGGTGTTAGGCTGACTCTGGGGACAGACAGGGGATGCCTGTTTGAGGAGGGGGCCCTGGGGCCGTGAGCAGGCCACCCGCAAGTATTCCTCTGATGAGCCCTGTGACTTCTCCTGTGACTTCATGGTCAGCCCTGGGTGTGTGATCCATGCATGATCAAGAATGCACAAGCACTTCATTCCCTGCACTTCGATCCATTTTTCTTTTCTCTCCATAGATTCATGAATAATTTCACTTCCTACTTTGTTTTAGCTTCCAGGAAGATATGTTGTCGTTGTGGGAAGATACATGGTGTGACGCCCACAGGCAAACACAGCAGAGTAGAAGAATGTAACTACCACTTGGGCCCGGTGCTGAGTCATAAAGGCAAGTATTTGGTAGCTCTCTTGCACTTAGTTGACCAGCCAGTGTCCAAGTTGTTGAGAGAAAAGTGGAATAAAGTATTCCCTTCGCTGTATGTATTAAATGCCGTCCCGGAAAGAGAGACTGTAACCCCTGAAGTTTGAACCTCTGACCACCGCTTCCTACCCTTGCGGCCTGCAGGCTCAGGAACGCCCAGGCTGTGACAGTTGTGCAGAAGGACCTCCAGGCGGTCAGCTCTCCCTGGACTTCACCTGCTTTGCCCCTGCCAGGGTTAGAATAGTTTCTTTGCCACCCCGCCCCGGCACTGAGTGAAGATGAACTCTTGATTCCTTCCCCCGCCAGTCCCCATCTTCCCTGCAACGTGGTAGTTGGCTACAGTCCACTCAGCTGGGTGTTTTGCCTACACAAACCGAAGACCTGGGTGCCATCATTAGTCTCCCTGTTGTGCACGTTTTGGTCTCAGCAGTGCACATGTCTCATTGGCTCTCCCTCAGGAATATAGCCTGAGCCTGTGCTGTCTCCACCTCTCCTGCCCCTGCCCAGGTCCAGGCCACCCCCATCTCTGTCCCCAGTTGTTGCACCATCGTCCTGCTCAGTCTCCCTGCTTCCACCAACCCCCCAAATCTATTTTTCACCCCCAAGCCCCCAGAATAACTTTTTTACATCTAGTCCTGTCTCTGCCCTGCTTTGATGAAAAGCCTTCGGTTACTTTGCTGACCCTGCCTGATTGGGCCTGTGCCCCCATCTTCCACCCTGTCCCTTGTTCCCTTCACAGTTCCCTTCTGGCCCCCTGTCCGGAGCCTCCTTGCCTGTTGTTCTCTCTGCTTTTGCCGTGGCTCGACCCTCCTCATCCTCTGGGCCTCTGCTTAACTTGTCCATCCACGAGGTCCTTTCTCAGCCTCACCGTCTGAACGAGGCCTGCTCTCTTCCATCCCTGCACACTGCCTCTTCCTTTCTGAGCACTCAACCACATTTTATAATGATCTAGTCACTTATCTGCCATCTCCAAAAGACTGTAAACTTTGGGAGGGACCACCATCCGTCCTTGTTTTCTCGCCTCACTGTCTCCCCGGCACTTAACATGGTACCTAATGCATATGGACCATCCATAAATCTTTGGGTGGGTGCATGGACACAGGAATTATTCATGTAGAGATGGGCATGAATATGAATGAGATTGTACTAAATGCTAGGAAGAAGATAACGCAAGGAAAAGGAAATAGAAAAGAACAATGGGCTTGATTGAATGACAGAAAAGATACGTGGATACAGAATAAAGTAAATCAGGCAGGTTTGGCCTGAGTGTTTAGAGCATGGAGGGCTTAGTTTCATAGGGAGGAGGGACTGTGAATTCCAAAAGGAGGAGAACAAAGAGGGAAGACGCTGAAGGAAGGGTAAGTGTAGCAGGCAGGCCGGTTGCGCTAACCAGACAATACAGCGTAATGAACAGAGCAAGGACTCCGGAGCCAGCAGACCCGGGATTTGGGGCTTTTTTTGCCACCTACTTTATCTGAGACCTTGGGCAAGCTACGTCAGCTCCCTGAGCTTTTGTTTCCACCTTCATAGAACGAGCTTTAGGTGACAGTTCTGTGAGGTGACATGTCAAAGTCCTGGCTTCTGACAGATGCTGCGTTAATACCGGTTCTCTGTCTCCCTTTCTCATCACAGGACAAAGTAAGATAAAGCTGTGGGATGTCAAGATTGGATGAGTAACGTAAGGCTGGTTAAGCACGAGCCTTCAGTGCCAGCCTGAGAAATTGGCATTTGATCAGTAACATACAAGGCAACAACTTGAGGAAAGTGATAGAATGAATGTGTGCTTCAGGAAAATCGGTCTTAACCACATTTAAAGGAAAACTGGTGCAGAAACCACTGGAGGCAGAAGGATTTAATAGGAAACACTTGAGAGAACGTTACCTTGGCCAGAGGGAAGAAGGGCTAAGGTGAATACGGGAACAGATGAGCTGGAATATGGGAGTGGGATAAGAAAAGAGTTATGAAGGCTTGGGATTATTGCTGTGAAAATGTGCAAAGTGCCTGGTCAAAGATGGTGGAAGGAGAGGGCATCAGGATTTGGTAGGTCCAGCCAAGGCTGGAGGCGCCATCTGTGTTGTGGTCTCAGCCTCCATAACTGGGTGGTTTCTTGGGTCAGATCAACAGCTCAGACACAGGAAGGGAGAAGGTGGTAGTTGGAACCCCTCAACCAGAGGGCTCCAGTAGAGAAAAAAGGTCAAGGAGTAGGGAAGGTTGAAAAGATTTTGACTCTGGTCATGATCTCAGGGTTCTGGGATCAAGCCCCTTGTGGACCTCCCACTCAGTGTGGAGTCAGCTTGAGATTCTTTCTCCCTCTCCGTATGCCCCTCCCCCCACTGTCATGTGCCCGTTGTCTCTCTAAATAAATAAATAAATAAAATCTTAAAAAAAAAAAAATGCCAGAGGATTGCTGAGGGACCAGGGCAAAATCAGGGAAAGAGGAAGGAAGGGGACTGAAGGTGTTCAGAACATTGGTAATTGTAATTCACCTTCAAAGTGTGAGCCATAAGAACTCTGCTTCCAGGAGTTGATTTTTCCTGTTCATTATGTAATATCCAAAACTAGGACTATGTGGAGTGGTAACATGAGATCATGTGCGCGGCAGTGTCCTTAAAGGTCTTTGAGGGTAAGGTAAGACACGTGCTCTGGGAGTGAGCCACTTCTGCTTTATAGAATTTGCCTGTTTTGATTTGTATTTTTTGTTTGTTTGCAGTCCTCGGTGGCTTAGAGACATGGTACAGCTGTTGTGAAGGTGTCGTTGGATCTGCCGGCTGTCAGGTTGCCAAGGTAGGGCTTGTCATGACCCTCCATGACCCTGCAGTCAGACCACTGCTCATGTCAGGGCCAGAGGTGTTGCCTCCAGAGACCAAGAAGCATTTGAAAGAATTCATTAGCTAATTTTTAATTGAGGAAATTTTTATGAGTGTAATTGCTTCTGCAGAAATAAACAGTAATTTATTTGGCAGCATTTATTTCAGCTTCACGTTCATGACTGGAAAGAAAACATAGAGGGCTTCATGAAGACTTTCGTCAAGTGCCCACCCGCCGATGGTAATCCCGGTGTATTTGCTGTGAATTGTGAGGTGGTATGTCAGTGTTTTCTCTTCCACCCTCCTTGGAGTAATTACAAGCGAATTATTGTGGCACACTCTCCATTGTTTGACAGCACTTCACTGGGCTTTATCCCCATCCCACAAAGCTCTGCAGTGTAGTTCACATACTTTCAGAAGCAACTGAAGCTGAAGAGAGGTGACTTGGAGGAATTCCCATACCTAGTAAGGGATAGAGCCAGGAATTGGTCCTTGGTCCTCTTTTTATTTAATTTTTTTTATGTATCACCAATGTTGGTTCTACTCCTCAAATTGCTGAACTTACATGGGTGGAAAATGTTACAAATAGTACCGTTACCCCCGAATCAACATAAAAACTTGAATAAATTTTTCAAAACCTCTTGTTTATAGAGACAGTAAAATATTTTTAGGGATTTTTCTTCATATGAGAATCAATATGAAAAAGCAGGGAACAAAGAGAACTTGGAATCCTATGACCTGGGAAGCCCCACCCCTTACCCACGGTCACCCCCCAAGCAAGTCTCCTGGATGCTCTAATTTGTAAAGTATGGGGTTAATAATCACTCCACGGTTACTGTGAGAATCAGATATACTAAAGTAGGAGAAAGTACATTGGACATGTCAAACATCATGTGAACAGTTGTCTCTGCCGAAACCTAAGATTTTTATTCCCTATAGTATATTTGGAGAGCAGCTTAGTGGAATTTAATAATGATAAATAGAGAAGGGCGTTGTTCAGTTTGAAGCTTAGGTCTTTAACTGGAAACAAGGCTGCTTCAGGCTTTGAAATCAAGTATCCTTTCCATGTTGTCCTCTACAGTGACATGTTTATGTATTGTAAGGATTTTCTTTTGTAATTCAACAAAATCTATAACTGCATTATCCAATAGGTAACAGTTCCTCAGTCACACTAGCCATATTTCACTTTTTTTTGAGAGAGAGAGAGAGAGAGAGAGAGAGAGCATGTATACATGCAAGCGGGGGAGAGGCAGATGAAGAGGGGGAGGGAGAACCTCAAGCAGGCTCCATGCCCAGTGCAGAGCCCAATGCAGGGCTCAATCTCACAACCCTGACATCCTGACCTGAGCCAAAATCAAGAGCCAGATGCTTAACTGACTGAGTCACCCAGGCACCCCTCATACTAGTGGCTAGTGGCTGCCATACTAGACAGCATAGAAATAAAACATTTTATCATCATGGAATGTTCTACTGGATAGCACTAATGTCTAATAAAAATAATTGTAAAGACCAAGCCAGGAAAATGGAATGATTATATTAGCAGAAATACTACTAACATTAAAAAAAATTTAAAGCTTGGAACATCTTTTACAAGACCGTCAGATCCACTGACTGGCTTTTGTTAGCAAATCCAAATAATATGATTAAATTGTATATTCTAGTTAGAAATATTCCTTTAGGATATCTAAGATGTTAAAATGTTTACTCAATATACTATGTAAGTTTAATATGTTCCGCCCCCCCTTTATAGTGCTATACAGCCAAAGGTTTGGAACTTAAGTGACTGTGGTTGATCCCAGCCTCCAGGTGGTCTATGATACATTTGTGAAACCAGATGAAGAAGTCATTGACTATAACACCAGGTATATAAAAGGGTTGGCTTTTGAGAATGTAGTATATTCAACATGTAGTTTAGGTGAGTTTTAGCTTAGTACTTTTATTGAGTCAATATTACAGCATGAGTTATACTATTTAGTTCATTCATTTGTTCAAAAACATTCATATTTTATTGAGTACCTTGTTAAAATTATGCAGACAGACACTGTGTTAGACCTCAGGTTACACTGTGTTAGACCCCAGGTCAAAACTATGGGAACTGAATCTAACTACAGTGTACATTAAAGGTATGTGTTATCCTAGCATTACCTGTCTCTCTAAATAAGAGACAAGGCTTCAGCCCTCATGGTGTTGACATGTTGGAGTGGTAGGTAGGAGGCTAGAAAGGTAAAAATATTGAATAAATTATTCCACCATTAATCAATTCCTTTTGAAAATACCATATTAGCCATTTCCATTAGGTAAAAATACCCATTAGATAAAAATTTCTGCAATCTTGTAGACATGTTCCTGAGTATACATGGCTTTGATATGGCATGCAAAGTAATGGTTCAGCGCAGATTCTATTCTGTGAATCATTATTATTAAAATATGACATATTTCTGACCCAAACTCAGTGCTAACTTTGAAATGGTACAATATAGATGTGCCTTTAATTTTTAAAAACCTTGTATGAAACACCAGTGATATCACTGATCGATTGAATTTGGGTTTCCTAAAGGCTTATAAGCCATATAACATGACTTACTTATATATTTCCTCAAATATAAAATGGCAGGGATCTAAATTTTCACTTTAGAATAGGAAGTGTTTGTTATTGATGTTATTGTATTTATTCAATTTTCTTTAACATATTCTCCAAAAGTACTTAAAATTACTCATTTATATATGTGTGTGTATATATATGATTTGTTTACACATATAAATATGACTTGTATATACACATACACATATAGTATATATAATGTACATAGTATACATAATACAGTGTAGTATATATAATATCTTATGTAATATTGTATATAGAGTATTGTATCATATATAATGTGTATATGTCCATAATTTTGGAACACAGTAAAACAAAGTGGTCGTGTAAATTAAAAGTTATTTTGATGATAAATATTGAGAATATTTATAGAGAATTCTGATAAGCATTTTTAAACCTAAATTCCCTCACAGTTCATAAAAATGGTTATATGCATAAAAATCAGTAAAGGTTGCTATTATCAGAAAATACATTTTGTATACTAATCCTTCTCCTGACCTATTTGGATTTTTTTTCCTACTCATTTTTGCCACATTTGAATAACCCTATTTTATTGGGGTTTTTTCCAGCTTTATTGGGGTATATTGACAAACAGAACTGTAACATACTTAACATTACTGGAGTAGTGGTACTTATTCTTTCATGGTTTTAATGGAATCTTTCCTAACTGCTTTTTGGAAATATTTGGTAATTATTGATATTCATAGTGACAAAATGATAACTGAAGGGCTTGCATTATAAATAATTTTGAGTCTCAAGAAAACTTCAAATGCATTCAGTGCACTGAATTTTTTAAAAATGAAAGTAAGCCCAAGTACTCCATGATAATTTCCTCTTAATCCAAATAGTTGATTAACTATTTATCAAATTCCCTAAGCTTGATGATGGAGGCAGGTATCTTTTTTTTTTAACTATTCAAGTATAATTGACATACATTGTCAGTTTCAGGTGTACAATATAATGATTTGTCATTTGCATGTGAAATGATCACAGTAAGACTAGTTACCATCTGTCACCGTACAAAGTTTAAAAACTTTTTTCTTGTGAGAACTTTTAAGATTTCCTTTTTAAATAACTTTCAAATTTACAGTACAGTATTAATAATTAGAGTCCCCATGCTGTACATTACATCCACTTGACTTACCAGTGGAAATTTGTACCTCTTGGTCTCCTTAACCCATTTTTTCCTACCCCCAACTGCCTTCCCCTCTGGAAACCACCATTCTGATCTCTGTATCTGTGAGTTTTGTTTTGTTTGTTCATTTATTTTGTTTTTTAGATTCCACATATAAGTGAAATCATAAGGTGTTTGTCTTTCTCTGATTTATTTCACTTAGCCTAATACCCTCAAGGTTCATCCACGTTGTCACAAATGGCAAGATTTCTTTCTTAGAGCTAAGTGGTATTTCTTTGTAGATATTATGCTGCATCTTCTTATCCATTCATCCATCAATGAATACTTAGGTTATTTCCATATCTTGGCTATTGAAAATAATGCTGCAATAAACACTGGAGTACATATGTCTTTTCAAATTAGTGCCTTCATATTCTTCAGATCAATACCCAGAAGTATAATTAGTGGATCATATGGTAGTTCTGTTTTTAATTGTTTGAGGAAGCTCCATGTTTTTCATAGTATATGGTTATGTACCATATATACTGTATACTGGCAGTATGTTGGCTACATCAATTTATATTACCACCAACAGTGCACGAAGGTTCCCTTTGCTCTGCATCCTCGCCAACACTTGTTATTTCTTATTTTGTTGACAGTAGCCATATAACAGGTGTGAGGTGGTATCTCATTGTGGTTTTGATTTGCATTTCCCTGATGATGAGTGATATCGAGCAATATCGAGCATCTTTTCATGTGTCTGTTGGCCATCTCTGTATCTTTGCAAAAATGTCTATTTAGATCCTCTGCCCATTTTTTAATCAGATTGTTTGGGATTTTTTTGTTGAGTTGTAGGAGTTCTTTATATACTTTGAATATTAACCTCTCATTGGATAAATGATTTGCAAATACCTTCTCCCATTCCATGGGTTATTTTGTTGATGGTATCTTTAACGGTGCAGAAGCTTTTTAGTTTAAGGTAGTCCCATTTGTTTATTTTTGCTTTTGTTGCCATTGCCTTTGGAGTCAGATCCAAAAAAAAAAAAAAAAAAAAAATTAAAACCAATGTCGAGGAGCGTTTTGCCTGTTCTAGGAGTTTTGTGGTTTCCGGTCTTAGAGTCATTTGCAGAATGACTTCTAGTCATTTGCAGAATTAAAGACTTTAATTCTTTTTGAGTCTTTAATTCTTTTTGAGTTAATTTTTGAGTATGGTATAAGATAGTAGTCCACGGGCGCCTGGCTGGCTCAGTTGGTTAAGCGACTGCCTTCGGCTCAGGTCATGATCCTGGAGTCCCGGGATCGAGTCCCACATCGGGCTCCCTGCTCAGCAGGGATTCTGCTTCTCCCTCTGACCCTCTCCCCTCTCATGCTCTCTCTCCATCTCATTCTCTCTCTCAAATAAATAAATAAAAACTTTAAAAAAAAAAAAAAAAAGATAGTAGTCCACTTTCATTCTTTTGCATGTGGCTGTCCAGTTTTCCCAACATCACTTATTGAAGAGACTATCCTTTCTCCATTGTGTATTCATTCCTTCTTTGTCCTAGATTAATTGACCATATATGCATGGGTTTATTTCTGGGCTCTCTCTTCTGTTCCATTGATCTCTGCATTGTCTGTATGCCCGTACCATACTGTTTTGACTACCATAGCTTTGTAATATTGTTTGAAATCAGGAAATGTGACGCCTCCAACTTTGTTGTTCTTTTTCAAGATTGCTTTAGCTATTCAGGATCTTTTGTGGTTCCATACAAATTTTACAGTTGTTCTATTTCTGTGAAAAATGCCATTGGAATTTTGATACGGATTGCATTGGATGTGTACACTTCTTTGGGTGATACGGTAATATTAATAGTGTTTTTCCCATCCATAAGCATGGAATATCTTTGCATTTACTGATGTCCCCTTCAATTTCTTTCATCAGTGTACAGGTCTTTTACCTCCTTGATTAAACTTATTCCTAGGTATTTTATTCACTTTGATGCTTGTAAATGGTATTTTCTTAAATTTTTTAATGAAATTTCATTATTAGTGTATAAAAATGCAGACTTTTGCATATTGATTTGTTTGGAGCCTGCAAATTTACTGAACTCATTCTAACAGTTTTTTGGTGGAGTCTTTGGATTGTCTATATATAAAATCATGTCATCTGCAAACAGTTTGAAACTTCTTCCTTTCCAATTTGGATGCCTTTTATTTCTTTTTCCTGCCTCGTTGCTCTAGCTAATACTTCTTATACTATGTTAAATAAAAGTGGAGCCATATGTGTTTTGTTTACAGGAGACAATAATATCAGTATATACTTTAAGTTAAAAATACTGTGCCAGTACTTTTAGGTCTTGGTTTTCTCCTAAATTGCAGTAAAGCATAGAAGTAGCCATGTTTCTGGACAGTTACTTAGAATGTGCTTCATGGATGCCACTAGTGTAGTTTTCTGCATGTATTTCACTGGTTCTCATAAACCATTAAGATAGGTAATTAACTCGACAGATAAGATTGAGACCAGAAGGTTAAGCAACATTCTGAAAATCAAATATAGTAAGTGTAAAGAAGATGTGGTATGTATGTATACATACATACATATATATATAATGGAATATTACTCAGCCATGAAAAGGAATGAAATCTTGCCATTTGCAACAACATGGATGGAGCTAGAGAGTATTATGCTTAGAAAAATAAGTCAGTCAGAGAAAGGCAAATACCATATGATTTCACTCGTATGTGGAATTTAAGAAACAAAACAAATGAGCAAAGAAAAAAAAAGAGAGAGAAACCAATAAACAGACTCTTAACTATAGAGAACAAACTGATGGTGACCAGACGGGAAGGGGGGGATGGGGAAATAGATGAAGGAGAGTAGGAGTACACTCACCATGATGAGCACTGAGTAATGTATAGAATTGTTGAATCATTATATTGTCCACCTGAAACTAATATAACACTGTATGTTAACTATCCTGGAGTTAAAATTAAAAATTTAATAAATAAATAAAACAGTAAACCCCCCGCAAATATAGTAAGTAAGTAGTAGAGTCATAGCATAGTTCAAACTTAGGTTATCTGGATTCTGCCTAGGGCTCTTCCATGGTACCCATATTTCATATTTAGGCTTTATATTTTTTATTACTTGAGTCCAGTAGACACACAATGTTACATTAGTCTCAGGTATAAAACACTGTGATTCAATATCTATTATTCTATGCTCACAAGTGTAGCTACCATCTGTCACCATACAACACTATTAAAATATTATTGACCATACTCCCTATGCTGTACCTTTTATTCCCATAACTTACTTACTCCATGTATCTCCCACTCCCCTCTGCCCATTTTGGCCATCCTCCCATCCCCCTTCCCTCTGGCAGCTATTAGTTCTCTATATTTATAGGTCTCGTTCTGCTTTTTGCTCATTTGTTTTTTAAGATTCCACATATGAGTAAAAGCTCAGTCTGACTTACTTCACTTAGCATGCTACCCTTTAGGTCCATCCATATTGTCATAAATGGTAAGATCTCATTCTTTTTTCATGCTGCATAATATTCCTCTCTGTGTATGTACCACATCTTTATCCATCAGTGGACACTTAGGTTGCTTCCATATCTTGGCTATTATAAGTAATGCTGCAATAAACATAGGGGTGCATATATCTTTTTAAATTTGTGTTTTTGTTTTCTTTGGGTAAATACCCAGTAGTGGAATTACTGGATCCTATGGTAATTCTAGTTTTAATTTTTTGAGGAACTTCCATATTGTTTTCCATGGTGGCTATTTTAGGCTTACTTTAATGGGAGATAAAACTCAGATTATACAAAGAGAGTTCAAAGGAACTCTGTGAACTCCTCATGTCTCCCCGCTCCCAGATTTACATTAATTAATCCACATTACATTTTACAAATCAAGCTAGAAAAGGATAGCTGATGGTCGTAAGTAAGACTTTGTTTTGTTCCGAGAGTGTTTGTCACACTGGGTCAGTGATGTGTTCTAACTCTAACGGATGAAATCCAGTGAGTTACCTTCTTGCCTTGTGTGTCTGACTGGGGCAGGTTTTCTGGTGTGGTCGAAGATGACCTGAAGAACACCAAAACATCGATCCGTGATGTCCAAGCCATCCTGTTGAACCTGTTCAGTGCTGACACTGTACTAATTGGACATAGCTTTGAACATAGTCTCTATGCTCTTAAGGTAAAGAATTACAGCCTTGTACTTTCACAAAACAGTATGTGTTAAGGTGGTAGTCCTTATTATTGCATTATCATTGATTGTTGATTTGCCCTGTTAACTAAGAAGAAAAGAATTGCTGTCCATATTGATAATAAAGTCCAACCATCATAAACCAAAAGCAGTACAAGACAGCTAAAGTCATTTGGCTCATCCAGATCAAAAAGAAAATCCATTAGTTAGGATAAAACCAAAATCATTGTTTGACATTGTCTTTAATATTCAAACGGGTAAGACTAAGTTTATCTAACAGGTTATTTTATTCACCTACTTGGAGATACTTTTTCATATTAAGTCAGGTAGGTCTTACAGGTAGGCTCAAAAGCAGATGTCACGTTCATTTTTCTTGGCATGATAGACTTGAAAATCTACCCCTTAATATACTTCAGGTTAAAATTATCTGTTCCTTGCTCTAGAACAGGAGTCAGAACACTGTGGCCGGTGCTGGCCACGTATTTTTGCAAATATTTTTGTTAGACCCACTGCCCCCATTCACTTCTGTATTTTCTTTGGCTGCTTCCATGCTACAACAGCATTGTTAAATAGTTACGGCAGAGACTGTGTGGTCTGCAAGCCCAAAATATTTACAGCTTGGCATTTTTAAGAGTTTGTTGATGGCCTCCATTCTAGAACACGAGTATCCGATAGAACTTTCTGTATTTTCACTATACACCATGGTAGACACTAGCCACATTTGTTATTTTTTTTAAAGATTTTTTATTTATTTATTCATGAGAGACAGAGAGAGAGAGAGAGGCAGAGGGAGAAGCAGGCTCCCAAGGAGCAGGGAGACCAATGCGGGACTCGATCCCAGGGTCCTGGGATCATGACCTGAACTGAAGGCAGACGCTTAACCATCTGAGCCACCCAGGCGCCCCACATTTGTTATTGAACATTTACAATATGTCTAATGTGACTGAGAAAATGATTCATTTTTTTTAAAGATTTTATTTATTCATTCGAGACACAGAGATACAGAGAGAGAAAGCATGAGCAGAGAGAGAGGCAGAGGGAGAAGCAGGCTCCTCGCTAAGCCAGGAGCCCGATGTGGGGCTCGATCCCATGACCCTGGGATCATGACCTGAGCCGAAAGCAGACACTTAACCATCTAAGCTACCCAGGCGCCCCTTCTCTTTCATTTTTTTATATTAAATTTAAACAGCCACATGCGGCTGGTGGCTTACCACTTGGACAGCACAGCTCTGGAACTGTTTCTTTGCTTTAGCCACCCCGAGGACTTACCTTCATGCAGAGAAGGGCCAGTTCTTCTTTAGTACAAGAATACAAATAAAGCCATTTAAATTTCATAGGTGAATGTCAGCCTTGTTTTCTGTAAAGCACCTGCTATTCAAAGTATAGATTTGTTTCCAATAGCAGCGTTGTGTTTGCCTGTGACAGATAAGCCTGGCATGTGCTTCTACCTAGACCTACCAAACTTTGCGAAAAGAGAGGTGGGGACAGACCTAAGTTTTCTTTGAGAAAGTTCTTCCAGGGATGTCCTTCTGTCGCCTCAGAGACCTCATGTCTCAAACTGAACTTCTCACCATGACTCTGTCTCTCCTTTTTCAGGAACCATTCTATTCCACTTGTCTCCTAGACCAGAAAATCCTAAACCATCACGATTCGTCATTGTAATCAGTCTGTTTCTTCTGTCCAGACAACTCCTGGATTTTCCTATTTTTTCTCTATTTCTACCAGTGTCTTCTTTGATTTACTCAGTACCCCGCAGCCAGGAGCTGGTGTCTGGTTGGTAGTTGATACATTAAAGGAGAATTTAAAGTGCTTCTAAACATGGCATACTGGGGCTAAATGTTAACTTTCCAACTCCTCATTTTTCAATGAGTCTTTAAATTACTCTTGAAGCTAATCTTCTTCCATCCTCCTTTCAAAATACAGCTCCCCTCCTCAAGAATGCAAACTGGTACCTAACTTTCTAGGCTCTCAGTTATCTGACTGCTCTTCTTTTTATCTCTCAATTTCTGCTGTATGAAACTTCAGTGGAAGTTTATGCATCATCTTTCATGTATAAGCACAGGAAATTTGGACATAGATGCGACAGGGTCCTTGTCCATGCCCCCTCCCCAGACACACACAAGTAAACCACTCATATGTGGTAGGACATGTGCTAAGTTGAGGTGTACCCCGCTCAGCGGAGTCCCAAGGTGGGAGTGTGGCTCTGCATCTACCCCAGTCTTGGTTGGAACCTGTCTGCACATGCTGCCCCCTGGTGGTGCTCACAGGAGGAAAGTGGATTCACAAGTCAGACTGCTTAGATTTGATTTCCAGGTACTCTCCTAACTCCGTTCTTCATCTCTCAGAGCTGCAGTTCCCTTGGCTGCAAAAAGGGCCAGTATCATAAAAGGGACAATAAAATATCTACCTCATTAGGTTAGTCTGCAAGTTGTAATGATTAATCCATGTGGAGGGCTTAGTGACTGATAACGTCTTAGCTGCGTCACATTCCTTGCCCATGGAGTATAGTTCTCCCTCTACAATGATTGTTGCTGTGATCGGTGTTGTTATTCTTTGGGGAGAGCTTCTGAGAGGATTTTCTCTTTCATTTGACAGCTAATTCATACTTCAGTTGTGGACACGACAGTTCTGTTTCCTCATTGGCTAGGCTTGCCTCACAAAAGATCCCTCAAGAGTCTAGTGGCTGACCACCTGCAGAGGATCATTCAGGACAATGGTAAGAGCCTGTTTGCTCCTGATTAATATCAGGATCCTAAGTCTGACTTGAGTAAACCATGGGATTCATGGTAGAAGGTCTGCTCCATGAAGGGCTTAAGGTAGGTTTTTCTGTATGGATTCTCTCCTAGGGTGGAGAACCCTAAAGCATCTCGTTATGTAAAAAGCACTGAAATGCCCTCTGCCTGGTGTCATCCTGGATCTTCCACGGGCATCAGAATAACCATTATAGAGAATGGTGGCCAGATGTTTGTTCGGCAAATTGCCTGGCCTTTGAGTTCATGTATAAAACTTCTGTGGGTGTGGAGAACTAATTCCAGTCTAAATTTAGCTGGGTACCCCTTTTCATATGAGCTTTGCATCAAATGAGATTCCAGAATTCACTGGGTTTGGGTCATCTCACCCAGAGTAAATTGTGTGTGTTGTGTTAGAAAAAGAATAGTTCAAATTCCATAGATTCATCATATGTGCACTTGATTTATACTGGTTGTGTGTATCTTGCTCTCAGAACATCTGTTTTTTCTGATGAAACACACCCAAATTAAACAAGTTAATCAGGTACAGCAAGAATGGCTACCAGCCACCCCATTAGTGGCATTGCCCTATGCACAGTTGAGCAGTGTCCGCCTTGGAATGGAGGTGAGTTACTCTCTACATTCATGTGTGCCCGTGTGGGCTCCTCTTTTGCACAACATAGAAGTCTAAGAAAATCAATTCTGTGTATGTTAAAATTTATGTTACAGTGCTGTGTTTCTAAGGATACCTAAGATATGGGAAGGCCCTCTGATCAAAATACCAACTGTACCGTATGGTCTTTATTCTTTCACTCTTTGTCTGTTAGACACTGCTGCTGTCTCGGTGGGTCTTCATCTGTTTTGCTAAAAATACATCTCAAAAAAATTCCTACAAAATTCTATTATAAAATGTAATGTGTTCTGTTGAAAACCATCTTGAACCTTAGGAAAATATTTCACTTCACAAAAAACAGCTTATACAAACATCTAATACCCCATTTTTTCCAGAATAACACAAATGAAAAATACCATACCATTTTAGACATGCTGATCCTGTGATTTTTCTCATTTAATCTCAGACATCATTTATTATTCTCACCAGAACTGTAGGCTTTATATTTTGGGTAAATTTCATGCACTTGTATCTAAGGCCATTCTTGGTGTAGAGACCTGTACTTTTTCTAGCACTCTCTATTTTTGGCTTTTTGCCAGATCTTTTACTAATACCTGCTGCTTTGTTGTTCTGTGCAAAAGAGGTATATGGAGAAGGTGACAATGTGAGGACAGGCTACATAGGAAAAGGGAGATGTTTGCTAATCTAGACTTATGTATAATCTCTACAAAGCAATCAGAATCATATTTTGGTAAGTGCCCAGTGTTAATTTTTTAGACACATGAACTCAAGGCTTCGTTTTGTGAACCGCCGTGGGTAGTATCACGGATGAAGTCATTGTAGGTCTAACACGTTGTTTTATATTCTGTACCGTTTGGAGGTCACAGTTCAAGTGAAAGTGCTGCCGCCTGCATGGAACTGGTTCTCTGGAAGGTAAAAGAAGACCTGAAAGGGAAGAAGTGATCACTTTGAGCAGATCTAAAATCCCTGCAGTGTTGTTTCAGTGACGTCTCTCCTGCTGATAGTAGAGTTGGGTCTATGATGGTAGGAAGTTTCTTGACCTTTTTCTTCAAAGAGGAGAAAGAAAAGTGCTGCTGAGGTTTATTTATTACATGTTCAAGGTTAAGTTTCCACAGTTTATTTCAGAAGTTGTGAGTGGGGTAGGGGGTGGTTAGTTGGGAGGATTAAGTTGGTTTGAATTTTCGACTCTTCCTCATGGATCGCTTGTGACAATGGATCGCGGTTTACAGTTGAAGCAGTGGGCCCGTGTCCTCCATCAGGATCATGTCTCCAGTTACGTACATTTCTTTTTCTCTCCAACTGCCGAAAACCATCTTGACCTAACAGAATTTTTTTTAGGTCTCCTATATAAATAGATTTTCCTCACAAAGTAAATGTAAACTTTTTAGTGCACTCTGTTAACATAAAGATTTTGGTCATTTGGCTATTGTGTAATGTGTTTTTATTCTAACTGGTGTACTGTGACTGGATTTTAATTCATAACAACTCATTTTTTTTAAGGCAGTAGCCTCTGGATCTTCTAAACACCCTAACCTGCATTCCCAATACCTGAATTGTCTCATTCTTTTGAGGAGTTAGCGCCATCTTTCTTGCTTTCTCAAAATGTGGAAACTACATGACTTTTTCTGTTTGATTACCCTTAAGTATGACTCTTCAGTATTGTTGCTGACATGCTACAAAATTACAAAGGTTTTACTGCCAGTAGAACAGGTGAGTCAGTGTAATCAATAGGAGGGCCTCTGGGCCGGAAGTACACCAGTCACCTTCTGACAGTTGCTTGTGCGGATATGCCCTCAAACGTACATCAGTTTGTCTGCCTTCATATTGTCACTTACAAGTAACTTAATGATCCCTGAACATCTTTTTCTTGCTGTCGCACGTACTTCTCAGCCAGGTCTCTTGTCATGTACTTGAGGTGAAGTAAAATAATTCAAATTTAGATCATTATGAATTTAAGTAATATATAATTAAGAAGGTCAGACTGTTATAGGGAAAAAAACCCGACGTCTGTTCCAAAGGCATATGCAAAATTTGAAGGTATTCTTGGCATTTTCAGGTCATCTTTGTTCAGTTCCATGTACTTTGAAACTAAGCACGGTCAGGAGTATGTCTACAGCATGTGGGTAAAAAGCCAAGGGAGCTATTACAGGTATCTGGGCCTGTGTTCAAGGGCTCTTCATTGGGTTTCCAGCTGTTGATTCAGGGTATGCTAGCAGTCTTGCTTGTGCTGTGTCTACCTGAATATGCTGCTGTGAACAAAGGGCCTGCTATCACTTCTGAATACGTGAGGTGGATTAAGGGGCAGGAATAGGGAACTTTATGCTGTATGTTGACTGATTTCACACTGTCCCATTTAAGAGAGATTCCAGTTCTAAGCCCTCAGTTGACACTGGAACACTACTGGAGGCACAGAAAGTAGACTAGACAGAACACTTCTCGATGTTTCCAGTCCTGCGAGCTGGAACGAGCATGTCTGGTAGAGTACCACACCCACTGCGCTATGGGCATCTTACCGACGGAGCTGGAGGACGGTAAGTTGAAAGACATCTGGCAAGACCTAGGAGAAACATTCCCAGACGAAAAACAGGTAGGCAAGACATTTATTCACTTACTGTACGATCTCAGGGCAACATGTGCCTATGTTATAAACTGTAAACTCACAACTGATCAGCATGGAAGCTTTACAATGTGTAGTATGTGAAGGGATGTCCTATTGGTACAAATGTCACATGTCTCCCAAATAGAATCCCAGGGTTCCTACTCAATTTCTTAAAATACACAAATCAATGTCACCAGAGAAACTAAAACTAAATCCCATTAATTTATCAAGCTTGTACTTCTCTAAAGATCCTTAGACTTCTATGGAAAGAGAGTTAAGTCCCCTTCTAGATGGATTGACTCATGGGCTCTGGAAACACATGACGGAGGTATCCAATGACCAAGTGAAATTGAAATGGCTTCTACAGGTGGGGGAGAAAGTTTAGAGATGGATAGAAGAATCCCTTTCAGATGTTCACCTATGTCCTGATAATCTAACGTAGTTCCCCCACTTTCCTCACCGGTGCTGTCAGGGTGGGTGTGAGGTTTATTAACAACATCTTTGTTCTATACAGCAAAACATTTTATAGCATTCACTGTGAAGGTAAATATCAAAAATATCCAGGGTGATAATGAGTTAGGCATCATAGTAATTGTACTCACACACCTTCCTGTAAAGTCCATATTTTTAGAAAAATATATTATTGCATATGAAACCATAAACAGGCATTCTGAGTTCAGCACATTCTTACTCAAAACAGTATATACAGTCCTAGTAGAGTCAAAGCGTCCTATAGATTCACACACACGGGTTTCTGTGGTCACGTCCCAGACATACAGCAATATATATACATTTTTATATTCTGTGTCACCTCTCTTGGCAGAGTCTTGCTGGCTTTCTTGGCATCAAGGGTCTGACAGGCCAGGGAAGGGGCAACATTACGTACAGATGGATGTGGGTGGTTCTAGGCTGCTTCTTCAGCAGAGCAGTCGATCCCAGCATAGGCAAACTTCTCATAAAGTGTAGTATTCACATAGGTCTACGAGAGCAAGAGCAGTTCAGAGACACGGGCTCCCTCCGTCCTGCCACTGCCAGGGGCAGGAATAGACCCTAATTTGCTTAACTTATTTCAATTCAAATACTAGGTACCTGGGGGACGTTTTTCTGTCCTCAGTCCCCATCTTGTATTTGACAGCTTTCTTCCTGAAATGCATCTCTTGCCTTCTACACCTAAGACTTCATCCTCTCACTCGGTCTCTAGGCCCTTCTTTCTTACCTCTCGGGAAATGTCCCAGACTGGTCACGATCACTTCTCAGTCCCCATTTCCCTCTGTGTGATCTCACCCACGTCTCTGGTTTAACTACCCCTCCGGTGGTGACTTTCCATCTAGTTCCCTAACCTAAATTTGTCTTTTCAACCTCAGATCTGTAAGGCCAACTACCTGCTAGACCTTTTTAAGGAATTCCTGACCCTCCCCCTAGGAACCTGCAGACCAGGCTATACCATCTATCGGCTGTGTGTCCTCGGACACATCACTCTCACCTCTTTGTGTAGATTTCTTCTGTAAAATTCGAGAGTCAAGCTTGATTACTGAGGAGGGTCCTTCTAGCTCAGAGGCTAATTCTCTCTGTTGTACCATGTGTGACTCTTTTATAGAAATCTTATTAACTCGGACATTGTAACATCCTCAAAGTTGGGGGCCATGTCCTTTACGTCCCTCTCTTGCCTCGGGCTATGCCCAGAACAGCTTGTTGAATTGTATCAGTTTTTTTTTTTGTTTTTTTTTTTTTTAACCATACAGGGTGCATGACGAATCGTGACTCAAGAGCCTGCTCCGAACGCCATGCTCACCTTGCGTTCTTCTAACATCCTGTTTAAGGACACCAGGATCTGGGCAAATGAGGGCCTCTCATAAGGCTTCTCCCGCCAGCACTGTCTCATGAGGTCATACCTTTGAAAACAAAGAGTTAAGCCGTGAACTCTGTGACTCGGCTTCAGTCCTGGGCATGGCCCGGTGTGGGGTACAGAAACGAGAGAAGGGAATGTAGCCATTTCACACATGGGCATCTGCACTTAACAGCACAAAAGTAGAGCACCAAGTTTCTCTCTGGCCTCCCCCCCCCCCCACACACACACATCCCCCTTTCTTCTGTCAGTAAAACTAGTCCGTACCCGCAGTACTGTTCCTGCGGGATCTTGGTCTCAGCTCTTCTGGTGATCTGGAAAGAGCTGACTCATGTGTCTAGGGCAGCATCTCCCTGGGAATACTCCATCTCTCAAAATGTTAATTTGTTTTTTTTTTAAAAAGGGTTCCATGCTCTAATAAATTTGCAAGATCCACCTATTGCATCTCCTTCTTAGGGATTAGCAGAGTACAAACAAAAAACCTGTGTGACCTGACTTAACCTGGAACTTGTCCCCTCTAAGTGACCACAGAGCTCCTTCCGCCTTGTATCATCTATTTGCATCTTGCATATCCCAGGAACATAGTGGGGGAAGCACTGGTCTAAGGCAGTACTCCCCCAAATGTGGTCAGAACCACTTGCATTAAAATGCATATTCCTGGGGCACCTGGGTGGCTCAGTTGGTTAAGCAACTGCCTTCGGCTCAGGTCATGATCTCAGGGTCCTGGGATGGAGCTCCACAGGAAGCTCAGCAGGGAGCCTGCGTCTCCCTCTGCCTGCCACTCCTGGTGCTTATACTCTCTCTCTCTGTCAAATAAATAAAACCTTTTTAGGGCACCTGGGTGGCTCAGTTGGTTAGGCAACTGCCTTCGGCTCAGGTCATGATCCTAGAGTCCCGGGATCAAGTCCCACATCAGGGGAGTCCCTGCTCAGCAGAGAGTCTGCTTCTCCCTCTGACCCACCCCCCTCTCATGCTTTATCTCATTCTCTCTCAAATAAAATCTTTAAAAAAATAAAATAAAACGCATATTCCTGGGACCCACCCTAGACCTATAGAAGCAGGGTCCTGGGGTAGGGCTCAAAATTTCACATTGGGAAACTTACGTGCCCCAAAGGCTACCAACGTAGCAGGGTCTAGGTTCCTGCCTCTTGTACCCGTGACCTAATTAATACCATGCTTTCTTAGAAGTGACTCCGTGTGGACAATAAATCTTTGGCTGAACCTAGAGCCTTGCTCTTTCATATCATGCCCGTCAGGCAGCAGCGACTGTAGGTAGTTCTGGGAACAGTGGTTTCACGAAAGCTATCATCCTTCCCTGGGGATTAATTCTTAGTGCTGGAAAATTATCCTTGAAGAATCAAGATTCTGTGATTTAAAAAAGATCCATCTTCCTCATGTCACAGCTCTGAAATCTTTATCCCCAAAGTGAGCCTCAAGGTTTCATACATTTATTCATGAATTTCAGATGTTTTCTCCATTTGTTGCCTTTCCTCATGTCCACCTTCCCGATCTCATCACCTTCAATTCCTGCTGGATTTCTATGCGGATAAAGCTCTTAACTCCCTGCCCACTGCAAAATGGTCTTAGTTTAAGGAGCCCCCCCCCCACCTTCCTTTATTTTGGCTATTTGGGAGGGCGATGTGTGTGTGAATGAGATAACTCCTTCACTAGAGTCTGTCCCAGGAACACGAGGGGAAGGTCAAGATGAAACAGCCCTAGGGTGTGGCCTGACTTACACCTCGTCGTCACAGTTGAGGGGCTTCTCCAGTCTGTAGCCCTGGGGCAGCTTCTCGTACAGTTCTGCACATGTCATCCCGCAGTAGGGGGTGCCACCTGGAAGACAGACAACCACGTTGCCCTAAGCCCCTGCTAGTGTGGAACTCAGTGTCTCCTGCCCCAAGCCTCTCAAGCCGAGAGACTGGGAGAAAGGGAGGGTCAAGGAAGAGTGCCCACCCAGTGTGATCTTCCTGTCTGAGCAAACCCACCGCACAGCCCCGCTGCACGTAGGCCTCCAACCACACTGCAGGGTGGCCATCCCCTCGGTGGAAAGATCCAGCACGGGGCTCCTTACTCACTGTGCTATTTCTCTTCCCCAAAGTCAGCCTGCGCAGCTCATCTAGTGTACCGGTGAGATGTACCTTTTCCTACTTGGGAGTCTGCAGTTAGGTTATCCACTTCCTATTTGATCTATAATAGTTACTGCCCAATTTTAATTATAAAACATGCTTACTATAGAAAACTTAGAAAATACAAAACAGTTAAGAAAGCAAGCAATAGTTTGTATTACACTTCTGTGTACTCCTTCCAGGTTTTTCATGGGTAGTATTTATAAAACTGGGATTCTAGCATAAGGAAATTTCTGGATTTTGACATGCATGTTTCCACATGCTATTAAATGGCCTTCAGAAATGACTTTTCATGGCTGTGTAACATACCATCTTCAAGTTGTAGAGGCAAACTTGCAATAGTTCTATGACATCCCTGCTCAGAGACAACCTCTAATGAATCTCCCAGCTACCAGGTTGTTACTATGAAGCATGACATTAGATACAGGGCTCTCAAAAAAGAAACATGGGAACACACACACTCGGACACAGAAACCTATCAAGTTCTATTTCCCAGTCCCATCTGGTGGTGCCACATCAAAACATAAAAATGGCTGTGGAATGACACAGTGAGGGAGCACAGGAGGGGCCCACTCCCGTCGCCTGAAGTCTCACCTGCTAGATAAACATGGATACTCACCTAAGCTAACGATCTCCCACAGTAGCACTCCGTAGGACCATCTGCAGGGGACACGACAGGGAAACCAGTAATCAGCAAACAAGTTGACCAATTTTCTGCCTCAAAAGTCAGGGTGACGGACGCTTTGCCAGAAAAGGAAATGTCAAATGTGGGTGCTCCCTAGGACAGGGCCCTGGCATGGCATGTGTTTACCTTCTCTTGGGCCAGTGGAAGGATTCTACCAGGGAAACAGCGTTAGAGCCCCCGCTCGCTTTAGGCGGAGAACATGGGACGGCGCTGGGGACAGCAGGTGCAACTCTAAGCTGAGAGATTGGGGTTAAAACCCAGCTCTGCCACCTTGGTACTCGTGTGACCTGGGACAAGTTACTGAACCTCTTGAGGCCTCTTAGTGTGTTCTGAAAGTGGGAACACCAACTGCTGCCTCTAAGCTACGCAGAGAGGATGTGAGAGAACATACAAAAGGCACGTTGCATGCAGCGAGGATCTGAGTACTCGCCAGCCCCCTGCCCTTCCCCAGGCAGAAGCTAAACTCCCTGGACAAGTCACCTCAACCCTCAAGGCCTCCGTTTTCTCCCGTCAGTAAAGGTGTGAGCCACATAGCCTAGGTCTCACTTCCACCGGCAGCCTGACGCTTTGTCCCTGCAGGCTGCCAGCTGAGACGCACTCTTGCTTTGGCCTGCCTTCTGTTGGTGCCACCTCGGACCCCCAGCAGCTAGTCCGGGCTCCCTCCACGCTCTGGGTCCTGTATGCTGAGGTCGGTCTGGGTCACGGAGCCATAGGAAGCCCCATATGCCCCTTGCCTCTCTACAGAGAATCCACCACTTCTTCTTGACCGGTGGAAGGAAACCCACAGCCTGCTACCAATGGCCTTGGAAACAGTCTGCTCTGAGGCTTCCTTTTGTAGACTATGAATTTATTTCCTGGGCTTACTGACTAGCTTTATTCCACAGAGGGACATCGTAGTCATGCTTCTCTTTAAGACCTCTGTCAAATGCTTATGTTCCTGGGGTGGGGGGGAATCCCTCAAAATAAAAGGCTTACTCACACGTCACTGTTGGTTGTATACACACTGTAATTTAGTGACTCGATTGCCATCCAGCGCACCGGGAGCCTTCCCTGGAGAGAGCAAAGTGAGAGGCCACTTAGGCAAGACAGGGACGCTGCCCGGGGCGTGCAGCTTGCCTGGAGCTCTGCTTCACCCGAGCCCACGGGGAACTCCACTTGCAGTTCCCCAGACACAAGGTATGGCGGACTCAGGAACTGCTGTTCGTGTACGTGCCACGCACAAGAGTGTCTTCAGAATCAAAGACATGCAAAGAGGATAAGCCCTGCTTGCTTCAAGGAGGCCCTACAGCAGTTTTATATAAAGAAAAATAACAAGTGTAGTAAGTGTGGGTGTGTGTGCATGTGGATGGCTGTGGGCCTTCTTGGTAGGCATTTCATTTATTCACTTTGTGGTTCTCAGAGGCCCTCAGAGGTTTGAAAGGGGAGGGAGGCAGAAAAACCAAGAATTAAACTGTAATGTGGGAGAGGCTCAGGCCATGTCAGGTGACCACCTGCGGTTGGAGGAGATGGGGAAGGCTTTCAGACAAGGGGACCTCGGAGCTGGGTCCTGTAAGATGTGTAGGTGTCATCAGGTGACTCGGGGGGAGGAGAGCTCAGCCCAAAGGGAACTGTGTGCGTACACATCAGTGGAGGGGGAAATCACTTCCCGTTGATGCAGTTCACAATGGGTTTGGAGATGGCATGAGAGACACTCACTCATCCTTTGGGGCCCTGGCCCTGACTCCGTCTGGGTTGTCCCCATTTCTTTAAGTCCAACCTGGGAAAAAGGAATGTGGACTGGACACTGGGAAGTTTGACTTCTATGTTTTAGTCTTAGTTTCACGGTGATTTGGGGCTCCCTCCCTAACGACCCACCCCAGGAATCACATGGGCCCTACCGAGAGATGGCTGCCTCCCTCCCAGGGATTTGTCCAAGCTCCGACAGTGGTGGTTCAGCCCACCTTAACCAAGAGGTGGGGCAACATCAGGACTATGGGGGGGATCTTCTCAGCCCCCCTGAAACAGGAGCAGGCATTCTCCCAGGCCACCCATCCTGAGACCAGCCCTGCCCTGGACCCCAGAACTGCTCCTGAACATGCCCTTGTCTCCTAGGTCTTTGTGAAGTAGTGATATTCTGAAGCTCTTTCTGATTTTAAGTCTGATTGGCACTTTACGGTTCAGTCATAAAACTCTTCTCAAACCTGCTTCTTCAGTGTGTCCTCAACATTTGCCTCCCTCCACTCCATGCCCACCCCTCCCAACCGCCCACCTGTTATCCTGGCTGCTGCTCTCCTCCACAGGAATGCAGAGTCATCGACACTTTCTGCCTTGTCCTCGCTTTTATGTCCCCGCTAGCTTCTGACCTCACGCCTCCCAACTACGAAGTTCCATGTTCGCTTTTTTATTTTTCTCATTTGACGTCTTTTTGATCTGTCCACTTCCACCTGTCCCCCTTGCTCTCTCACCGAAGTTCAGGCCACCATCGCCTCTTACCTGAGGGTCACCTCTTAACTGATCTGCCTGCTCCAGAGTTTCACTCCCTAAGGATCAGTCCTCCTCACCATAGCCAGACTGATCACTCGAAATGGCAAATCCAGCCACGTGGTTCCTTTTCTTAAAGTTCTTCAATGTTCCTTATTGTTCCAAGATCTCAAGTCCTTAACTGAATCCAGAATTTTTTAGCTGGAATTCAAGAATCTTCAAGAAGACCTATAACCCCTGCATCCTCCCACCTTGAATTTTAACCCTCCCTCTTCTCTGCATTACACTCCAGACACATTGAATTACTTGACCCCCAAATGTTTGCCTCTAGGTCTTTATATATACTGTACCCTCCAGGTCATCCAATTCATTCCTGTATCTCCAATATGTATGTAACATTTGTAAAACCCAGGAGTTGGCCTCCTCCAGGGAGCCCTCAGGACTGCCCACAGGCTCAGTTCAGTGTGCATTCTTCCTCTGTGCTCTCCTGGCCCTCAGCACTCACCAACTGTTAACAATTGTACATTGTGTGTCCGAGCTCTTTAAAAGTGGAAACTGTCTCAATTTATGTTACCCCAAAACCTAGCACAAGCATGAAACACTCTAGTCATAAATAAATCAATGATGAGGGGCTGGATCTGTCATGATAATAAAGCCCCAAATCAGTATGTTAGTTTGCAACACTTCCAATATTAGCATCACCTGGGGGTCTTAAAAAACAAACAGAAACTGATGTAGGAGCCCCACCCCAAAATGACTGAATCATAGTATCTCAGCTGTAGGACTCAGCATTGGTACTTTCTGAAAGCGTCCCAGATGATTCTGAAGTGCAAAGAGTAAAAAATGGCTGGTTTAAACAGGAGGCCAGAGAAGGTAGCCGCTCTGCCCTCTGGTGGTACCTGGCCTCACTGCACCCTCCTTGCAGGGAGCTTGCTTCTCTCCATTCCCTCGCCTTTCCTCCACCTTGGCTGGCCCTTTGCCTTTCCTCCCAGACCCTCTGTGCTGCCACAGAACACTTCACCCAGCTGCTAGCAGAAGGAATTAAGTTCTGACCCGTCTAAGTGCTCTGCCCCTCTAAGCATTTTCCCCAAACTCTCCAAGACTGCCGAAATCCCTGCCCTTTATGAAATGCCAAGCAAACTAGCATTTTCCTTGGGGATCTGAGGACAGCATCCAAATAAAATGTGTAGGTTGTGGGGCTAAACTGTGTCAGTGCCTCCACCCTGTCACCCAGAGCACCCCAGCCCCCAAATGCCAGAGAGAAGGAAAGGGGCTCTGTGAAGGAGAGCACAAGCCTCAGATGGCCCAGGATAAACAGGGAGAGTGGGAGTAAATAGGTGAGTGGTGGGTCCTGCTTCTTTAAGACAAGCCCAGCCCCTCTGCAGAGAAACATTGCCTGCTTTGGGTCAGGCGAATTCAGAAAAGCTGATAAAAACAAATGAATAAAACTACTGCGTGGAAGCTGGCCCTTGAAGAGACGCCTACAGCATCTGAAAGCACTGACATGGATAAGTATCTGGGGCCCCACTGGATGTGTGTGATGGTCTCTAAGGGCCAAAGGGGCCCCACTTCAACCCCTTATCCAAAAAGGGACTGGAAAGATCCAAAATGGTTATGTTCACTGGCATAGGAAATATATAAAAATATGTATGTTTGTGGAAGGCAATAAGTAAAGGAAAAATAGAATGTGTCAAGGGGGTGAACTATGGGGTCATTTGGTTTTCAAAACATTCTTGAATATTATTTGTGTTATCTTGTCAGTAACTAAAATAAGTATATTGGAAAAAAAGAAAAACAAACCCTGAATAAGAGGATAAACACAGAAGCCTGAGCCTGGCTGAGGCACTTTGTTACCCACAAACATAAAGGGACCATGTGAAAACTGCAGTAGTCCCAGGAAACCTGAGCCTGAGCAATGTCCGTCAGACCCAGGAAAGGGGAGCCATGCCACTGGGGTAGAGCCACCAAACACATAAGACTACCACAGGAATTGTCAGCCCCAAGGCTCTGCAGTTGCCCACCCACACAGGGAAAGCAGAGGGTGGCGCCATGTTGTCAGCAGGGCTCTCAAATCCCTGGAAGGGGCATTTCTGGGGCTTTATGATTTCCGCTGGGCAACAGAAGCAGAATGAGTCCAGCTTCCCTCCAACTGTAGTGACGTTCTCCTGGGATCTTGTACTTGAAGATTAAATATCACTGTTTGGGAGAGGAGGTATCATCAGGTGAAGGTGGCTTTGATGTGGGCTTGGAGAGACAGTGGAAAACTTTTGGTGAAGAAAGAACTCTTCCGTGGGCTTCAGAAGTTACAAATTTCTCTCCAGGGCCTCCTTGTGATTTAGGAACCTCATTAATTTATTTCCTTTATATTTGGAAAGTATGTTAAATGTCTTTTTTTGCCCCTCCTATGCTTGCTGTGCATGAAGGGGGATTGAGGGAGCTCCTCAGAGGTTTCTGGGTCAGACACTTAGGGGTCCGAACTGGATGCAGACCAGAGCACCTGCACCATGAGGCTTGCATGTAGCATCCCTTGGCCACATGTGATGGTGGCTTTTCACTGGTAAATGTGGAGCCCTCAGTCATTTTAGGAATCAAAACTCTGAAAGGATGTTTGCTGGGCCCGGGTACTATCTCCCGGGGTAAAGACTCAGGTCCCTAAGTCACCAAAGAACAGTGGTGTTCCAAGAGAAGGGCCATCGGGAGAGGGAGGGGCCCTGGGGAGGATGTTCTCAGTGTCTGCGCTCTGAACTTACCATCGTCTTTTTCACATATACTTCTTGACCTCGGGACAATCCAAAATCTGCTATTTTGGCTACATAGTTTTCACCAACTAAAATGTTCCTGGCAGCCAGATCCCTGTGGATAAACTGAAATTTTAAAAAACATCATGTATTTTCATCACTTTTGCTTGTTCACTTCATTCTTCTGTCACAAAGCCACTGGGGCAAGAACTTTGGGAAATAGAGAAGAGAGGAATGAATCTAAGTCCCTTAAAGTTCCTCTCCAGAATTTTCAGTGGATTCTGCCAAATGACCCGCCATGTCTTGGGAGAAGCATTTCAGGGAAAAAAAAGAAAGAAAAGAAAAAAAAAAAGAAGCCCGGATCACTAAATCTTCCTGTTGCCATGTAAGTCATCAGCTATTACACATCATTGGGACCCAGATGCAGCTAAGATGGGTTGAGGCACCTCACCAAATACATATGCTGAGATTCACTAAATACAGGGATTGTTGGTGTTCGGCCTTAACTTCTATATGAATAGAACGGTAACAAAGAGATGAAAATTAGGGAGATACTAAGAGGAATTACAGGGTAGGAGGACTTGAAAAATGTGTAGATTTAACTCAACTCTGATTCTGGAAAGAATTTCAAAGGAAAAATGGCCACAGCAAGGTCCTCACAACAAACCTGTTTTTGGCTCAAGTAGTCCATACCCCGGGCCACGTCGGCTGCGAAATGGAGGAGCTGCTGGGAGGACAGCGTGGAGGCGGTGCTGTTGGCGATGGCGAAGGCCGGATCGGTCTCCAGCACTCGGCTCTTGCGCAGGAAGTCCAGGAGGTTTCCATGGGGGGCGTATTCGATGGCCAAGTACAGGTAGCCTGTGGGGAAAGGGAGAGACACCACCTTGTCAGTAGCCCTCAACAGCTGTGAAATTTCTGAGATGTCCCATGGTCCTGGGAACTGCTCATAAAACTCGGTGTCTAAAAGCAACATGTCTAGCAGTACCAACCTTGGGAAGGCTGGCAACAGGAGGAAGAGAAGTTCCATGCCCTGCCATGCTTCAAGGGCCCCATGCTTGAACCCGGGGTCTCTCTTTCCCACTGCCCTCCCTCCCACCACCTGTGGACTAACATGGAGCCTTCCTGAATGCTTTCAGCTACTCAGTAATAAGAGGAGAATGAAATCAACGTGTTTGCCTCCAGATGATCTAGGACAGCTGGTCTCCATCACCTTTTATTTTTATTCAATATTGACTGAGAACTAATATGAGCTAGGCATGTTCTTCCAGTCTGTCTCCAGCTTTTCCTGAGGTTATTTAAAAAAAAAAAAAAAAAAAAAAGACTGAGTATCCATGGCAGAAGGACCCACACCAGGTAACTTTCTCTCTCCTGCTTCTACTCCTCTCCCTGAAAACTCTACTAAGTCACCGTATTGCTGATTAGCTTGCTGGTCAGCAGAGTCTAATGTCAGAGATTGCATTTTCCTTAGAGAAAACAGAAAGCACAAACTTTTAGAAAGACAAATGAAACAATGGGTTCCTCAAAAACATTATGGTCCATTGTCTTGGTTTTATTCCAAATTGTTTTTTTTTAAATAAAATTACTTTCATAAAAACATTGATTTCTAGAGTCAATGAAAAGTAGAGTGCTTTTACGGTCTTTTAAAGTTAAATATTTTTGGTATATCATTTTTTGATTTTAAAATGTCAAATGATTTTGAACTTCAATGGCATTCTGAGACATTGAAATTCTGGCAAAAAAAAAAAAATCTAGCACTGTACCGTGTTGCACTGTAAGGCAAGATACATCTCAGGGTTTTCTCACTTCCTTACTGAACTATAAATTTTAAGAGCGAACCAATTACATGCTAAGGTGGTGACAGTAAAAATTTAAAAGACATATTTTTCTGTTGGTGGTGGTTACTTTTTTATTGTTGTTGTTAACTTCCATTTACTGCTGTCCCATGCTGATTACTCTTTTCAGGAAATAGCTCAAAAATAAATGTCATTACTTCATTATTTAACCTAAGGGACATAATCTGGCTTTCAGAATTACACCCTTATTGGATCACAGAATGATATATTGTTTGAAGCCCCAGTATTTTTAGTTTGATAAACTGAGGAAAAGGAAGTAGTCTCTTTTCTATTGTTGCTGTTTGTGCTACAAAGTCAACAAGAGGTTGTCAAGTTTGTAAATAATTGCTGTGTGGAGCTTTTTTTGTGGGAGTGAACTTTTCCATGAGAAATTAAGTGTAAGCATTGCTGCAGAACAATAAACCCAGGTAGCCTGGAGAAGTGAACTCATAGAAGTACTCAATAATATCTGAATTAATAATATAACTTGAACTTTAAGAGTATGTGCAACATAGGATAGTTGTAAAGCTCCACCGTAATTGTACCAGTAATGGTTTTAGAAAAAAAATAAAGCTCAATCTGATATAAGCTTATTATTGTTCTTATTTTATCCTAATCATCACCAATGCTTCCACATCTCAGTTGATTGTTGGCATTCATGGATTTAACATTCAGACTATCAGTGTCTTGACTTTGGAGGGAAAAAGATAAGCAATTAAGAAGAGCCAATGCAGTTCTCTCTTCCTGATGCTGAAGGCTCCCCCAATCTACCTAAGCAATAGTAGCTGAGGAAACCTCTGGATCAGCAAGGATGGGAGTGTGCAGCAACCATGGGTACCTTTGAGCAGTAATGATGAACCACATCAGAGGGCAAAAGATCCAACCTCGAGACCTACCTTGAAAAAGATGCCAAACCTCAGCACAATTTATAAATGGGACTAGACATTCGGATTGAAACTGCAACTTAAAAAAAAAATAGGTAACATTCTTAAGATTATTATCTTTACTGATTTTAATATGGAATGTCCCTGTTTCAAAAAAAAAAAAATCTGGCAGGAATGATAGGAAAAGAGCATCTTACCACGATGTTCACACGCTCCCAAGAGATTGATGATGTTTGGGTGGTGGCCAAGTTTACAGAGAACCTCCAGTTCCCCAGCAAAGTCCCTGTGGTCATCTTTGGAGGCGTATTCTGGGAAGAAAGTCAAGAGTTGTGATCCCTCTCTGTTAGGCCTCGTTAGAAACAACTGTGCTCTCCTGCTCCCTTTGGAGGACCTTCAGGGCACTGAGTCACAATCAGTTCTGGAAAACTGTATAGAAATCAGAGATTACTCTAGGAAGAGTACTTGAACTGATGACACTTTGGGCTGACGCTTCTTTGTTGTTGGGAGCTGTCCTGTGCACAGCAGAATGTACGGCAGCATCTCTGGCTTCTCCTGCTAGGTACCAGCAGCCCAACCAAAATGGATCCAGTTGCTGCTGAATGTCCGCCCAAGGGGCAAAACCATCCCTGGTTGAGAACCACTGCTTTAAACTTTTCCTTGTTTAAGCTCTCAAATACCCCGTGAAATGACTTGATAGAGACTCTACCTATTCTAGCTGAAGCCGCTGTCCAGCAATAAATATGCTGAGCAAGAGAACCAAAGTTTCAGTGCAACAACACAAGAAATGCACACAACTTGCTTTCTTACAATAATTTTAACTTGCTTTTCCACAAACCAGTCCTGCTAAAATAGAAACTCAAATCCAACAGCATTTTTATGGAAGTGCTTGGTGGTCAGGAAACTGAATTGTGTTTGTTTCTGTTCTTTTCATCCTGTCTCTCCATTAGCATTTGGAGTAGAGGAAGACCCATCAGGTACCAACCAGGCTGAAGGGAAGGCTCTCTCTGGTTGATGCACAAACTGATCAGCCTTGATCACTGACAGAGCACTCTTACTGTTTTTTGAAAAATAACATTGTGTAGGAAAGGTGGGAGAGGGGGACAGTTGGGTGCTGGTGGCCCTGGGCATGCCTGAATGTGCTTGGAAATTACAGAAATGTTTCATAAGGGTTAAGGGCACCCATAAAACTAGCTAGTAGGCAATCCCAGGTCAGATACCCTATTCATACCACAGGAAGCCCGAGGGTCAATGCCTTGGGAGCATTTTTAAAATGAAGTTCTTTTTAAGGAGGTTGTCCTCCTACTTCAGTAATTGTCCTCCTTTGAATGCATCACTCTCCCTATAGACAGTTTCTGCCCTGATGCCCCATTTAAGCTATTTCACGTCTTCACATGGGCATGAGACAATCAGGCTCAGGTCAGATTTTAAAAGTCCTGGTTTTACAAGATTCTATACCCTGTTCCCTCATACTATCCTTACTGTTCCCCCAAATTCCTCGTGACTAATGTAGCAAAACAGAAAAGAGACTTATGGATATTAAGCAAAATTGTGTGTGTTCGTGTGTGTGTGTGTGTGTGTGTGTGTGTTTGAAGCATACTACTATCTCTAAACACAGACACTATTTTATTTGTTTTATTTTATTTCTTTTCTGTTAACGCTGCAATAAGCAGCAATGATTTAATTAGATTTAGGGTTAATTCCAACTTTAGGCTCAATATTGCCGTCAAAAAGGAAAACCTATCAGCAACCTTACAGAGCCTGCATTGTGAAGCTAACCAACAACAGGAGTTAATGAAATTTCCTGCTCTAACACATGGCTTTTCAAGCCCTCATGCTATACAAGCAACACTGCAGCTTCATAGTCAAGCCACACATAAACTTCTCCTTCACACAAAAGAGAACACAGCCAGGACCGCCAGTGAGCTAGTCACTCTGCTTTCTCAGATGATGTTTATTAGCCAACTTGGTAAGTGGGTAGGCACCAAGCAGTCCTGAGATGAACACAACTGGAAAAGATTTAGATCTTCTGACCTTAGATCGGTAGTTTTCAAACTTGAGCATACAGAAGAATCACAGAGCACACTTGTTAAGAACACAGATTCTCGCGTGTCCCCCCAGAAATTCACGTACACTGGACCCGACAAAGGGAGAGGCCAAGCAGATGCATTTCTAACAATGTCTCCAGGAGATTTGATGCAGATAATCCATGAAGACAGTGGTTTGCAAAGTGTGGTCCCCAAACCCTCAGCGTCAGCATCACCTGTGAACTAATTAGAAATGCAAATCCTCTGGCCCTGCCCCAGACTTGCTGAATCAGAAACCAGGGTGGACCCCAACAGTCTGTTTTTAACAAGGCTTCCAGGTGATTCTGATACACACTCAATATTGAGAACCAACTGCATCAAGAGAAACAACAGCGCTACCCTAAAGTTAGAAGTGTATGACAGAGAATCTATATTCTCACATCCCAGTGAGTCAAGACATTGGCATTTAAACAGCTCATGCCTTCATATGTATGTCCCGACCCTATCACTGGCTGACCTCAAAGGAACTATCACCTGCCATTGCAGAGAACAGCTGTATTTGACATTATGCCAATTTTTTGTTTAAATAATGTAAGACCATAGCGGAAAGATTCGACAGGAAGTCAAGTTTTCTCCCCACCCTAGTGAAATGCTGACTTGATCTGGTCAAGCACTGACCTTTCATCCTCTTGATGGCAGCATCCATCCGTAACCCATCCTTCTTGATGCGTGCCTTAAGAACCTGGCCAAAATTACCCTCCCCGATCACATCTTGAAATTTGATGTCATTCCAGTCAAGCACTGGATAAATTGTAGGATCCGGGTTGTTTTTGGCCTTCCTGTTCAGGGCCAGAGTTCCTGAGTTGAACTGCACAGCTGGTTCTTCCCTCTGGAGAAATAATTTTTTCATGGTTTTGTGTCAGGATTTTTCATAATTCTAATGTGCATAAATACTCCTGGCTTGTATCCCATACCAGGTAAAACAAATTGTCTGTCTAATTCTAGAATGCAGATGGAAATAGGTTTCATCTAACAGGCTGTCTCTAGGGCTGCATGAACTAATTCCAGGCCTCAGGTGGAAGGCATGCTGCAATTGATTAGCAATGTCTTCAGAGTGCAAGGCATAGGAGAACAAGAGCAGGTATGCCACAGGATGGCACATCCCCAAGTTAGTCACACTTGAGTTTCTACTGAGCTGTGGAATGAGCAGGTATTCAGTTCTGATTTGGAAAAGAACTCAGAGATCCTGTCTGGGGCAGTAACAGGCAGTGCCTCACTAAGAGCTCTCCTTGCATTGTCTTGGCCTATTCTTGACTCTTACTCTGACTTATCCTAAACCTTAGAACCTTTCAAGCCCACTCTGCAGCAGACTCTGGCCCCAGGATGACAGAGGCTTATAGTCAAACCCAACATAGCATCACCTTTTCTCCTGAGTTTGAGAGGGTGCTGACATATCATGACAAAGCTCCAGTACACTCAGCCCCCTTGCTGGTCTTTCCTCTCCAATGACAGCCTGAGTTGAGTCAGCTCTGATATAGAGTCAGATAACAAAGCTCCCCTTATCCTCCAAGGAGGGGAATCTCAGGGATTTGTGGACATGAAGCTGCACCTCCTCTGGAATGTGTAATTGTACTCAATGTTTTATACATGGAATTGATAAATTGGGTACAAATTTATCTTACAGAGCTTGGAACCACAAACTAGATAAACGTTCAGTCTATAGCACACCAAAGAACTCAAACAGGGTGTATATTGGTCAGGTATGATTTTGTAAACCTTGGTTACTAGTCAAAATTTCTAGATGAAAGAATAAGGCAGTGCCAGGTATTATGAACTATGACGGCAGACTGATGGGTACAAAGGAATGGAGAGACACACATGTATCTGAAATTCATATATATTACATATATAATATATATGAGGGATAATAAGACTGTGGGAGAAATTAGAAGTATAAAATAGGAACGAGAAATAGGAAATGTGGGGAAAACTTGTCTAGCACAATACATCATTACCCATCACACTGAGGTCTGGTTATGCTCATGTCCTTCCTTACTGAAAGCATTCAATTCTTCATGTTGCAAGATTGGTCTCCCTGGTGACTCATCACTAGGATGACCATACATCTCATTTTGGCAGGGCAATAGTTCTGTTTTAGCCCTGGCTTCCTAAATAATTATTAAGAGCAACCTTTCCACTCTCAAAATCATTCCAGTTTGGACAACAAATTACATAGTCATGCTGTTTATCTCCCATTTCATAATGGAAGTCAAAGAGAAGATGAGACCTGCCTAAAGGAAATATTTGTCTTACAAGTAAATTTCCTGGTCCATATCTTTTTTTTTTTTTTAAGTAGGCTCCACATCCAGAGTGGAGCCCAAAGTGGGGCTTGAACTCACGACCCTGAGATTAGGACCTGAACTGAAATCAAGAGTCGATGCTCAACCAACTGAGCCACCCAGGCACCCTTCCTGGTCCACATCTTTAAAGCGAAGATTCTGCATACATGCAGACTTGTACTTATTAGCTAGTAGAAAGATGAGGCACTACCACGTTTTGGAAAGCTTGGGCCATTCTCCTTTGGACATTTGCCCTCTTCAATTGCAACATGATCAGGAAGGCCAACAGCACCGTCAGGCAGGTCATTCCCGCCGAGCCAAGGATGGCTATAAGCAGCATCTTCCCACCTCCAAGGTCCGCTGGTGCTGCGCAGAACACAGGAGAAGCAGCAGGGTTAGTTTAGGAGAAATAAGCCAAGACCATCTATGGGTGACATTGAGGTACAATGGATATGTAATGGCAGCCCTAGCTCTGCCACCTAATTGCTACGGGACCTTGAGCTCCTCATTTATATGTTCTGAAACTCAGTGGAGAGGAGTCTGACTCACAGGGTTGTTATAAGACCTAAAAAAAAAAAAAAAAAAAGGAAAAGTGCTAATTATTAGTTGTTACCATTTGTCCCACTTTTACTTCCAAGTAGAGGCCAAAGCAGCAACACATTATCAAGTAGCAGGGAGAATGACTAACTAGATATAGGACTTTGGGAAAGTGGCTAAACCGCCCTGCACAATTTCCCCACCTAGGAAAGTTCTCAAGTTCTAAGATGCTGAGCTTAGAGTCTATAAGATTTTTTTTTTCTTGTTTAAAAAGCTGATGGAGAAAACCTGAGAATACCATTGACAGAATGAAGTAAAGGAGGAGGGGAAGGAGGGAAAGACAGAAGAGGAAAACCATTAAATTTAGGGCTCAAGTCAAAATGAACTATTAAAGATTATGGTCTAATCCATTTCTTTCCCTAATTTAAACTCAAAACTAAATGCAATATATTTTTATGAAAAACAGTACTTAGAGCATGACCCCATCTTCTTACAAGAATTGTTTTGTGATTATCTCTCTTTCCTTCCTTCTTTCTCTAAGCATGGGTACATAAAGACACATCTGGAACAGAATGGTGAGGATTTTGTTGTTTTGTTATGCCTTGTTTTTAATTTTTCTATTTGTATTTTATGTATAGCTTGGATTTAGGGCCTGTATACATTTTACCAAAACACAAATAATTGTAAAAATAAGGTATTTATTAAGGGTGTCAACTGAAAACTCCAACTCTCTATAATTGGCAGACTCATCATTCCTTGGACATTTCAAAAATATTCCAAAGAATCGGCCCTGAAAATATAGCATGTTTCATTTTATTTCTTAAGCCCTAGGTAGCCCTTGAAAGCCAAGAAGTTTTTACTACTATAAGATTTTCTGTAAAAATAAACTCTAGCCCAGATTATGAATCTGCAAAACATTCCATCTAATGTCACACATTGCAGAGGGCTGGCAGGTGCCCCTGCAGACAGACTTCAAAGGGAAGGTGCTCCAGGAGCTGCAGTCCCACCCATCCTGGTCCCTTGTTCACTTAACTACATTTGACTGGTATTATCAGTCACAAACACTGGGCATCGTGTGCTTGGCACTCTGAGGGACCTACATCTATCTCAAAAAGCTTACTCTCACTGGAGTGGGGGTTAGTGGTGGACATGGAGACATCATAACTTGGATCCAAAAAGTAAAAAACAAACAAATAAACAAAAAACAAAACAAAACAAAAAAACGGGAAAAACAAAAACAACAATTTAGAATTGCATGGTGTCATCCAAGCTAAAAGAGGAGTTCATTTGAGAAAGAATGGAGTTGGTTCTTGGAGCCTCCCACTGAAGCACCCTCATAGGCCTGCCTTCACTAAGCAGGTTCTACATTCTTTTTCCATGGAATCGAATTCACATTCCTCAGAGCTTCCATTGCTTAATGGGGAGTGCAGACTAAATGGGCTAATTTAGTCTAAGACTTAACAAAAGAAAATGGATCAACATGGTATCCCTCTCAGGGGCATTTTCATTTTAAGAACCTATTTGAGATGGTGAAGCCTATGTAGACAAATGAATTATGTCACATGACATACACATGAGGTAAATATCTTAATTAAGATAGTGGGGCTTTTCTGATACTCTCCAGAAATAATCCTAAGTAAATACCTGTCCACTCTACCAACCTTGAGATTTAGAAAGGGTCATCAGTTCATGAGAAATGGTTGGGTTGCTTGACCCTATGTTGTTCTCTGCAAAAATGTCCACCTGGTAAGCTGTTTCAGGCTCTAGGCCCTTGAGCTGATACTGGGTAATGGTGGTATTCTTTATCTTCACATCAATGTGCTGGTCTTCGTTCTTGCCCTGAACCTTGTAACGGATGATAATAGAAGAAATAGAATAGCCATCCAAGATTGTCCAAGAGATCATGGCTGAGGAGTCTGTGATGTTAGAAATCTTGATATTTTCTGGTTGAGGAGGGAGAACTAGAAATTAAAAAAAAAATTCACTTAAGTTACACTACCATCTCTTAGATTATTATGCTTTTAAGGGATACTTACTGTCAGCTCATAAACCAAGAATGGCAAATAAGTGTTTTCTTGGGTTGTGATTCCAATCAATTGGAAGTGGACTCCATGCATACTTGACAAAATGGCACAAGACAGGAAAATGACAACACATATATTATCACATATTTTCTCACCCTTGCATTAAATTAAGACATCAAATTGTTACAACCAGTAGAAATTGGGCAAAGTGTACCAACAAATTCATCAAAAAGCAGAAATCCCACTGTTCAAGAAAAGATACTCAATATCGCTAGTTATCAAGAAAATGAAAATTGAAATAACAATGGGGTACAATTTTTTACCTTTGAGATTATGAAAAATAAAAAGGTGTCCAACATCAAGTGATATAGATATAGGGAAAGGATATATGTACAGAGATTGATATAGGGAAAATGGTACTCTCATATACTCCTGAACATCGTACACATTGAACGAGAAACATTGCCTATCAGTTCTACTTCTGGACATATTCCCTAGGAAAACTCTCACACCTACGCACCTGGAGACATTGCATAAGGATGGTCATTGCATTTTTGTTTGGGATAGTTAAAAAAAAAAATCAAATGTCATTTTGTTTGGGATAGTTAAAAAAAAAAATGTCCACCTTAAAGGGAATGGATAAATAAGATGATATAGTCATAACATAGAATATTATGCAGAAGTTAAAAAAGTGTATGTCAGAACTAAACAATGAACATGGGTAAGATAGGAATCATAGTGTTTATTCCAAAAAGCAAGAATGGTATGTATGCATATGTGCACTTGTGGATGAATCTAACACACTGAGCCAATTCAACCTTGAATGGAAGGATACACAGCAAACTCATAATGGGGTTGTCTCTGGGGAGCCAGCCATAGAATGAGAGTAGGGATGACGGTCCAAGGGGCTTGTGATCTGTATTGTGTTTTTACTTCCACAAATCAACAAAAGGGCTGAAAATAAATATGACAAAATATTAACAGTTGTTAATTCTGGGTAGTAGGAATGTGGGTGTTTGTTGTATTGTTCTCTGCACTATTCTGTAATTTTTAAATTTCATAGAATTTTTAAAAAGTGATGAAGAATCCCTGAACGCTGACATAGCAGGTGAGACTTCCACATGTCACTGATACAAGAGAGTGGCTGAAGGAACACGGAGCCATTTTCTACACCTGGTATTGAGCAAGTGGAGATGTAGCTGCAGAAGAGAGCCTGAGACATCAGGTGTTGGCAAGGGACCCCGTGATCCTAACCTAAGCAGTAGTCAGTGTGGCCAAGACATATTTTATCTTTCCAAGGACTCCAAAATACACAGACACAGTTCTAATGCAGTGAATCTAAACAGAACTCTTTGCTTAATGATGAAAAACTTTCAATACTACCAAGAAACCCAAGAAGTTCCAACTACTTTTAAATGACCAATCTGAAATAGAGAAAAGCCTGAGTTGCAGAATATTCTGAAAGAAAAAAGGTTTTATTGCTCTCAAATATATTTTATAACCCTAAGAATTATCTACTATGAAGATTTTCAAGCAGAGTCATTTAGCTTTTAAGATTAGGAAAGACCTATCTAATTAGTCAGCATCTGGGGGGCTGAAGAAACAGAACAATCTTGAAAACTGTCCTATAACAAATTAAACATACCCCAGAAAACCTTATTCATGTTATTAATTTACTTAATAAATAACTGCATACCAAGGAAAGGTAAATTTTAGCACAGTCCTGCCTTTCTTACATATTACAGGTTCTTTAAACGGTTTGGTGTGTTGGGGTGGGGGCACTAATTAGCTTCCATCCTTAACCGCCTTTTATGATGTCTAGCAGTCTTGACTTGATGGCAGCTAAGTCCAAGCAGCAGTAGTCAAATGTCATTCAGGCAAGGTTGGGGCCATGTGAGTTACTTACTGTCGCTAAGGGTCCAAGCGATGAGATCTTCACTCCATTCCCCCTGGGCCTTGGTGTTGACTCTGGCTCGGACTATGTACTGCTCCCTGGGGTGTAAATTGTTAAGTAGCACTGAAGTCAGGTTGCCTGGAACTTTGATATTCTGCTGGTCACTATTCATTTGCACAGACCTTCTCTCCACTTCAACATAGAAATCATCTTCTGAGCTTGGAAATATTGGTTGCCAGGTCAAATTTAGAGTGGTCTGACTTTTTGGTAGGAGAATGAGACCTCTTGGAGGAGGCAGACCTGGGAGAAATCAGAAAGATCATGTTTTTTTTTTTTAAAGATATTTTTAAGTGAGCTCTATACCCACTGTGGGACTTGAACTCACAATCCCAAGGTCAAGAGTCACATGCTCTACCAACTGTACCAGCGAGGTGCCCCTAGATCATGATTTTTGCATTGGGTGAAGCACAACAGCCCCAAAGGGCAGCTTTACAGAAGAACCTTGGCTTCTAGAATAATAGACAACTTCACAGACCATCAAAAAAACACAAGCTAACAGCCATGTCATACTTTTTTTTCTATCAAAATTGCAAATATTTATAACAATTCTAATTTGTAGTTTGAGTAACTATAGTAGAGGAACTCCTTTAGAGAACAACTTGGAAGTATTTTTCAAGAACCCTAGAAATGAACGTCTGCTTTGGCCCTGACTGCACCAGGGATTTATGCTGAAGAAATAATCCAGAGGCAGAGAAAAACCAAAGTGCATGAAGACATTCATTATGGCATTATTTAATAATAGCAAACAATCAGAAGAAACCTAAACGCTCAAAATAGGAAAGTGCTTTAATAAATTATGATATAACCATCCAATGGATTAAAATAGATCTTTGGGAGTAGTATGGGAGGCCAAAAAAAATATTTCTAATGCATGAGAAAAAACTCTAGTTGCAATTTGGTAAAAGTCATGGCTACAATTGCTGAAGGGTAGGGAGGAAACTGATAAAACAGTGGATTTTCCAAGGTTGTGGGATAGGAGGGGTTGGTAACTATCCAGTGTTTTAGTTACGATTCTGAGCAATATATTTTTTTTAAAGATTTTATTTATTTATTTGAGAGAGAGAGAATGAGAGAGAGAGAGAGAGCACGAGAGGGAAGAGGGTCAGAGGGAGAAGCAGACTCCCTGCCGAGCAGGGAGCCCGATGCGGGACTCGATCCCGGGACTCCAGGATCATGACCTGAGCCGAAGGCAGTCGCTTAACCAACTGAGCCACCCAGGCGCCCTCTGAGCAATATATTTTAACGCAATTTCAGGGTTACTTCCCTGTAGCAAGAATTTCAAGCCCTGGAACAGCTGTGGTGGCAGGGCCTGGGGTCGCCCTGCTCTGATCACAGCAAGGTGCTGGCTATGACCACACCTGCCCTGGCCAAGAACCTGGGCTACCAGACAGGCACCTGAATGCAAACAACATGGGTTTTGAAATGAAAGAGATAGGAGCCTGCCTAGTTTTGAGGCCTTGAGAAAATTCATAAGCTCTCCAAGTTCACATGTAACACAAAATGGAAATAATTATCTTTCAGACTCAAGAGAAGCACATGAGATAATGGATGTGAAAATAGAAGGAGTCAGGGACTCTTACATAACCTACTTTCCCTCCTTCCTTCGTTCCTTCCTCCCTCCCTTCTCCCTTCCTGTCTTATCTTGCGTCAATGGGCACAGAAGGACTCTGTATTTTCAGTTATAATTGTAAATTGACTTTTCACTTCCAGATATTTCAAAACATATATTTCAAAACATAGAATAGGGATCCTCTAACTCATGCATTCTCAGTGGGGACACTATTGCCCCTAAAGGGGGCAAAAACTGGTTCGTGGGATACGGGAACATTTTAGATATTACAATTGCTTATGTAGGGCCACAGTTTATAAATATATCTATGGTATTAAAATTCATGGCAGGGGAGACATTAGGACAAAAGAGACATTTTGTCCTAAGGACACAGGTACCTAAAGGGGGCAGTAATTGAAGGAGGAGGAAGGTGAGGGCGGGGAGAGAGGGGAAGAGGGAGAAAAGGTTGGAAAACTGCTCTTTTCGGTCAGAAGTGAGAGAAAGGGTCTGTTTCCATACACCAAGCCAGTGACTCCCACCGGCCAGTTCTGACCCGTGTTACCCTAGGGAGAACCAGCGGTCAGGTCTCACAATTTGCTTGGCATTATGCTAAAGAAATAATTAGTCTCTGTAGCCTTTGTAAATAAAATCATCATTTTAACTATTTAATATTAATACATGTATTACTCTAAATAACTATTATTCTCTATAACCTTTACAAGTTGAAAGAGGTGATGATAACTCCTTTTGCTTATCTCTGAAGTTTAAGTTCCAAAAGAAGGCGCCCAGAGGAGGCAGGCAAACTTCTAATGACAAAGCAGAACAGAGTTGATGTTTTGGAGCACAGATGCAAATCTCCTAAGCCTAGGCCTGGTACAGAAGAGTCACTCGATAAATGGTCATTTCCCTTTTCCTTTCCTTCAGGAACATGACTTACCCTTCACCCCTCCCTACCTGCCCTCTTTCTGCCTGTGTTCAGAGTGGGATCTCTTCCCTCCGCTCCTGGCCTCCTGGTCTTCACCATTAAATCAACATACTTATAAATAGTGCAACTGCCAGATGAATTAAAAAACAAACATCAGCAAAATTCAAATGATGGGAAAAGAAGAACCTTCAAGAATTCCCTCCCACCGGGGCACCTGGATGGCTTAGTCGTTAAGCATCTGCATTCAGCTCAGGTCATGGTCCCAGGGTCCTGGGATCAAGCCCCACATCGGGCTCTCTGCTCAGCGGGGAGCCTGCTTCTCCCTCTCCCACTCCCCCTGCTTGTGTTCCCTCTCTCTCTGTGTCTCTCTGTCAAAATAAATAAAATTAAAAAAAAAAAAATTCCCTCCCTACCTACCCCTGAGAACTGCTTTGAAATATTCCAAGAGACTTCTAAATACATCCTGGCTGGAACATACTCTGAGTACTGAAGACAGTATCGTGTGGGTCTGTGAAGTGTTTTATGATCTGTTCCATAAATACTTTCCATCTGAGTCAGAGTATGACCTTCGCCTTGGATTCATCAACACTGGCCAGAGAGAGAATTAACTACCATTTGCCTTTTAGCAGCAACCTGACCACAGAGCAGAGACCCCTTTGATCTCTTCGTCTTCTAACTTATATAGAGTTTCTGGTGTTATTTTTTGTATTTGCTACCTGGTGAGGTCCCAGGAAACCATCCCTTATTTGTACACTGCTTCTCCAAGGACCAGAGTAGCTCTTGAGTTCCATTTGGTTCTTAAAGGATGCTGCTGGTGAGATGGAAATTTGGAGGTGGGGGGGGGCACGAAGGGGGGAGTCTCTGTTAGGGATGCAACTCCCCTGCGGGAGAGCACACTCATTCTGGATCCTTCTGCCTTTATGAAGTAGACTAAAAACAGGAAAATTTACCAATTCGGATAAAGAAATGGTATCTTTGGGATCCTAGGTAAAATAATAATAATAATTGGAGAAATAAAAGGATGTGAACTCTGAAGATCAATGTATGAACCACTCTGAGATGCTACTTGTCAATCTATAAAATGGGGAAGATAATTCTTACCCTTTAAGGTTATATGAATGAAATATATGTGAACTTCAAACTATACAGGGCTGACCACAGACAGTAACAAATGATAAGACACAGTGAACACTAGAAAAGCAAACTTTACAAGGGATCACTCCCTTGTTTCAGAGAGGGGTACCTGGGTAGCAGAAAGCTGGAGCCTAGGTTAGTGTCAAGGAAACTTCACAAATTCAAGGGACCCTCAACTAACACAATAGAAGGGCAATCGATACTAACATTGATCAATCAAATATCGCTACATATATTACTTAGAATGTATGGATCAAGGATCAACAACATCAAGTACAACTTGCCAGCTTCTTAGAGCTGCAGAATCATGAGCCCAACCCTGACCCCAAACCTACTGAATTAGAAACTCGGGGTGGGGGTCAGAAATCTGTTTTAACGAGCTCTCCAGGTAATTCTTATGAATACTAATGTTTGAGAACCACTGATTTAGAAACATGGAGGCATATATCCAATAAGAAGTAGCTTAAGGGGGACGCCTGGGTGGCTCAGTTGGTTAAGCATCTGCCTTCAGCTCAGGTCATGATCCCAGGGTCCTGGGATTGAGCCCCGCGTTGGGCTCCCTGCTCAGTGGGGAGCCTGCTCCTCTCTCTTTCTCTGCCACTCCCCCTGCTTGTGCAGGAGTGCGTGCTCTCTCTGACAAATAAATAAATAATCTTAAAAAAAAAAAAAAAGAAGTAGCTTAAGGAGGTAAATCGGGCTGCCTATAGGAGGCAGCTTGGGGGGTGGGGAGGTGGAACAGGGGTCTGCTGTTCTTCAGATAAAAGCTTCTCATCCTATTTGATGTTTTAACTCTGTGCACGAATTACTTTGGAAAATGAGAAATTAGTTTTAAAAATAAATAAACTGGGATTTCTGAAGTACGTATGTGCCAAGAGTCTGGCTTAGGCCCTTAAGATGGAAACAGGAAGCTGTTGGTAAAACTCAGGAGCCAAGCAGTTGCTGCTAAGTAAATCCCAACTCCTAAGGGATGGCCCTGACTTCCTGAAGGCTCATCTGCTTCCTCCTCTGTCCCCGTACTGCCGCAGACACCCTCCCCCAGGGACATAGACCAGGAGTGCAGCCCAAAGAAAAGAACTATTTGGCTCCAAGCTGCCCACCTTCCTGTCACTTTCCCACCCATTCAAAAGCAAACTCCTTCCCCCTGCACCCCCACCCACCCACTCGCCCACCACCACCCTTCCTGGTCTTCCTTCCTTTTTCCCCGTCCTCCCCCCTCCCACCCAGTGCAGGAAGAAATGCTGTTTGCTTCCACTGACCGATAGAAGCAGTTGTGAACCGTCTCACGGGTCCCGGATGCCCTTCCCCACCCTCTCCACGCCGGACCAGCTGCACGCAGAGCTCGTATTCTGTGCGAGGTTCCAAATAGCTGAGTGTAACAATCTCACTTGTCACTGCAAAGAGGGAAAGTCCAGGAAACTTAAGTTGGCATTCTTGTACATTGTTTAAAGTGGAATGCTGTTATTGTGATGTGAACTAGTGTTTGGTTTTTCAAAAATACAATGTCTAAGGGAAACAGGCAATCCCCCGCTTCAGGGCCTCACCATTCCTAACACAAGGAAAATGAGGCTTTTTTAAGGAAGTTTCCAGGTTACTATGTACAAACTAATGCAAGTCTCTCTGAGCCACTTAATCACGTCTGCTCTAGGGCTTTTGTCTTTTCATTTGTACAGTAAAACCACACAAATCTTCAACCATATGGAATAACAATTAGATTTAAGGGGGGGTGGGGAATCTCAATTAAAATAATGTAATTTAATTGCCACCGTTTTTAAATACATAGTGATTGCAATCAGGCTATCAACAGAAGAGATTCTTTGAGGGTTTGCTTACAAAGACCAGAGAGCACATTTGTAATAGTCATACCATTTACAAATGGAGGGCTCTGAAGTCACTGAAAATAGATCTCCTAAACAAATAGTATATGCATCTTTTCTCCTTAGCTATTTGCTTTAGCCAGGCTCTGTTCTCTGCAGGTATTGCAAAAGTACCGCCTTACCATATGATAAATTTGCAGCTGGTAAGAAAAAAAACTGGGCTGTGTTCAAGAGTTCTTAGAACATTTTGTGGATGTCCGCTTGCAGAAAGTGATGATGGATTATTACCACCTTATGAAAAAAAGCTGCTTTTTAATAAAACCTAGCCTTTGACATTGTCAACAGCAACTTAGCATATCAGTCTTATGTCACTAGGATTCTGAATTTTGGCTGAGTCTACAATAGAATGTGAAGGGCTCGGTAACAGTGCCATGACTTAATTCCACATATCCAGGTCAGCTGGGTTAATACTAAACTAAAACCTTTTGTTCTCCTTTTTGTAACTTCCTCAATTATCTACATAACAATGCATAGAGGGCCCTTTTTAGGAAATCACGGGCATAGTGAGACTAAAGAATTGGTAGGTAATTAACTCTGAAATGGAATCCTTGGCTACAGCCACTACTACCCTGGGGCAGAGGAATGAGAGTGGGAGAGAGGATTTCTCTATTTCTATATGTGAGGAATTTTTTTTCTCCTGGTGCCACTTCTTTAGCTGGAGTCTTTCCTGTTCAAACCTTACCTTGAATATGCCGCCAAGCTTCATAATGATTAACAGGTTTGTATAGAAGCTTCTTGGATTTGATCGGTCCATCCCCAAAGTAAGGCTCAGAACTGATGTTGATGACAGCAAAATTATGTCCAGTGTCGATCACGTTTGGGGCATTCAGGGGCTTTGGAAGAACTAAACAAAATTTTCAACAATCAGATTAGTCTCGAGTTTGATTATCGTACTTTGGTGAGGATAGAGGAGGGGTAACCTTACATTTCCAACAAAACCCTCTAGAGGCAGGTACATAGGGAAACACTGGTTAACAGCAGATGGAACAAAAGACAGGGAACGGAGTCTGACACCTGACAGACTGTGACAACTGAGTAAACCCTATGATAGCTCTGTGGTTTCTCAGGGCCATAAGCTTCCCGTTGTTGCTCAAGCCCATGGCGCCCACGCACACAGACCCAGTTAGCCTGCAAATGACAAAGAATGACTCCTCTACTGGGGGTGCTAGAGTACTCCTCATACATCTTGATCATGAAGTATTTGTAAGAGAAAAATTGGACTGCGCCTGTGCTTAGTAGCTGCCACAAAGCATGCGTAATGATATTCAGAGTTTTTAGAAGTTCCCGTCTATTCCCAGAACCTTTCATGACTATATCACCCACTCATTATGACCACCTATAAACAGCAGAACTCCCCTACGTCTACCCAGGGCAGCTCAGATCCTGTATCTGAGTGTACCTGCACTCTGCCCATCCCCTTTCAGTGTGTACTTTGGCTTTGCAATAAAACTTCTTCTGCTATACTCTGACTCCTTGAATTCTTTCTCATGAGGAAGTCAAGGACGTGGCACTGGCTGGTGGTTGAGGTGTCAGGGCTCGAGAACTACCCATCTCCCGTATCACTCAGTTCTCTGTTCAGATTCAATGCAGTTGCCTGCACTGTGATCGCCTGGCTTTGTTCTTGCCCCTCTAACCCACTATCCACAAAGTACTTCTTAAAATACGATCACTCCTCTGCTCAAGACCTTACCATGGATTCCCATCATGTTTAGAATAAAATCTAAAATTCATAACATGACCTGTCAGGCCTTGCACGATTGAGCCCCTGCCTCCTCTTCCCCTCACCCAATAACCTCCAGTGCCACTGACCTTTCTTTTTATTTTATTGTGTATTTATTTTTTTTAATTTTAATTTAAATTCAATAAGCCAACATAGAGTACATCATTACTTTCGGATGTAGTGTTCAATGATTCATCAGTTGCAGTGCTCATCACATCACGTGCCTCCTTAATGCCCATCACCCAGCCCCTGAACTTTCAATTTCTCCAACAATGCAACAAGCTCCTTTCTGTTTCAGGTTCTTTGTAAATGTTGTTCTCCTGAAAGCAATGCACCAGACCTCCCACCATTCTCTGTTACCTCTTAACTGATCATTCAGCAATCAGCTCTGATGTGATTTCTTCACAGAGGCTATACCCCCCAGTTAGGCTTCAAAGAACTTAATCTTTTCCTCCATTGCAATTTTCAGAATTTATTAGTCTTAGAGATTTTGTGTGAACATTTAATATTGTTCTTCCTCTAGACCATGCATGTTCTCTCTATCTTTTCCTTTCTTTCCTTGCTTTCTTCCTTCCTTTCTTTTTTTGGCTTAGAGCAACACAAATTTATTCTTACAGTTCCAGAGGTCAGAAGTCAGACATGGGTCTCACTGGGCTAAGATCAAGGTGTTAGTAGGGCTGTAAGGGAGCTCAAAGGGAGACTCTGTTTCCTTGTTCTTTCCAACATCTAGAAACCACCTGCATTCCTTGGCTTGTGGCCCCTTCCTCCATCTTTAAAGTCAACAACATCGTGTATCTTGAACCCTTCTTCCACTGTGATCGCTTTCTGATGATAGGTAGGTAAAATTCTCTGCTTTTAAGGACTCATCTGATTAGAGTGGGTCCACCCAGATAATCCAGAATAATCTCCCCATGTCAAAGACCATGATTCTTTTTTTTTTTTTAAAGATTTTATTTATTTATTTGAGAGAGAGAATGAGAGAGAGAGAGAGCACATGAGAGGGGGGAGGGTCAGAGGGAGAAGCAGACTCCCTGCTGAGCAGGGAGCCCGATGTGGGACTCAATCCTGGGACTCCAGGATCATGACCTGAGCCGAAGGCAGTCGCTTAACCAACTGAGCCACCCAGGCGCCCAAAGACCATGTATTCTTAATAGGATAAAATAACACCCCCATGTAGGTTAAAATTAATTCTTGCAGGATTGAAAAAGCCTCCGATATTACAATGGCCTTCCAAAGAGCCACAGTACATAAACAGATAGGCAGTACATTCATGATATTAACATTTTATGGTGAGGGGAGGAGAGTTTGGGAATAAATTTCTAAAGGGGTTCCTTGGTGAGGTGATAATGATCGAAATGTGGTAAAACACTGCAATGGACTCTAAATTCCATTAGGTAAAAGACCATGTAGGTTTACAGGTGCTGTATAAGTGTTGGTCAATTGAATTTCTAGTGAGTTCTATAGCTCCATCAGCCCATCCTTCTTAAAAATGCATACCTGTTTTTTTTTTTTTTTCTCCCCAAGGAGTATGCTACATAACATAGAATCTTTCAGATTCTGCCAGTGTTTTTACTTTAGGGCAGTTCCTGAGAAGAGTGCACTTCTGTGAGTAAATTCATTTGTTAAGTCACGCTTCCCTTGTATGATCAAATAAGACCACCTGTTTGCTTAAAACAGCAAATACTTATTTTATTGTAGCTATTAATGCCAGGATCTTGTAAAAATGATACTTTTGTAAGCATGAAACAAACTGCTCCAAAAGCTTCCTCTTAGTAATTTATCATTTTATTTGTTGTCTTTTAGTAATTTGTATTGAGATATACATATTATAAAGTGCAAAAATCTTAAGTGCATTTAGCTTGAGGGACTTTACCTGTGCACAAACCCATGTAACCATTACCCAGATTGAGACAGGGAACGTTTCCAGCCCCCTGGAAATCACCCTTGTGCCCCTTCTCTGTCAATGGGGAAATATTATCCTGGCTTTTGTCACTATCATTTAGTTTTGCCTGATCTCTAACTTTGTATAGATGGAATCATAAAGCATGTATTTTCGTGTGCTATTATGTCTACGATATCCATACTATTGCAGGAATTCTCTCTTATTGCTCTTTAATATTGACTGTATGATGTTACAGGCTGAACTGTGTTACCCCAAAATTCTTATGTGGAAGTCTTAATCCCCTGTACCTCAGAAGGTAACTCTATTTGGAGAGAGGGTCTTTAAGACGGTAATGAAGTCAAAATGAGGTCATTAGGGTGGTTCCTAATCCAAGGCAACTATTGTCCTTATAAGAAGATTAAATTAGGACACACAATGGGAAAATCGTGTGAAAGTACGGGGAAAAGACAGCCATTTATGAGCCAAGGAGTGAGGCCTCAGGAGAAATCAACTCTGCTGACACTTTGATCACTTATCTAGCCTCCAGAACGTGAGAAAATAAATTTCTGTTGTTTAAGCCACCTCGTCTGTGGAAATTTGTATGGCATCCCTAGCAACCCATTAGGTATGAATACACAATTTATGTATCCCTTATAATGTGGATGGATAATTGGGTTAATTTTAGTTTGGGGCTATTATGAATAAAACTGCTCTGAACATTTAAGACATCTTTTTGAACTTATACACTCATTTCTTTTGAGCTTATACTTAAGAGAATTGCCAGGTCATAGGTATGTGTATGCTTAACTTTAGCATATATTTTCAGTTTTCCAAAGGGGGGTTGTACCAACTTGTATTCTGGTAGTAAAGTCTTGCATCTTTTTTTTTTTTTAATACTATGATTAAAGATATTGATTAATTTACCTAATGGCGATTTTGATTTTATATCTATCAGTAAATATGACATGAAGAGGTATCAATTACTTAGTATTACAGATGCTTCTATGCGTTGATGTTGTGTGCTGTGTCTTCCACTAAAAAATAAAAATTAGAACCACTGACTCTTCTGAATCTTAGCAACATGGTTTATTTTTGACTTATTTATTTTCCATGGGCAGCAAACATTCCAAGAAGCTTAAAAATACAGTAATTTGTCTTGTCTGCATATCATTTCCTTCCTTTCAAGAACATGCAAGATATAAGAAATTGTTTTCATCATGTGAATGTTCTACTGAATAAAAGAGATCAGGGCTTTTTCCAGTAATTCCAAAAAATACTAAAGATTCTGTGGCAGTTTATGTGGATGCTCAGGGTAGAGAATCCCAGTCTACAAGGCTGTATTTAGGCTAATGTTATTGGTCTCTTAAAAAAGATTATGTTCTGGACATTTGCCTTACTTCATTTATAGAAATCACCTCTCAGATAGCCCAAAGATTCCTCATCAAGTAACAATATGTGTAAAATACAAGTCTGTATTGGTTATCTTGCTTCCTAAACTTTAACACAGGAGACTCAGAAAATGAAATGGTCTAGACAAATGGTGCAGTATTTGGAGCCAGGAGACCCAGGTTCAAAACTAAGATTTACTCCTTAACAGATGTGCTCCCTTATACAAGTTAACTAAACCCTCTGAACCTGTTTTCTGACTGGTAAAGTGGTGATAACAGTATCTGTTGCATACAGTTCTCATAATAATTAAATAAGAGGAAGTATGTGAGGTACTTAGCCCATTGCCTTTCTACAAAATATGTCCAAGAGCTGTTAGCTGTTTTTGTCTAAATGGGCTCATAAGAAACTTCCAAATTTAACATTCCTTGTGGTATCTATGTGTACCAGCCAAGCTAACTCAGATTTACCTCCATGTTCCTTCTCCCCATCAAGCCACAAATGTATAGCCACCTACTTAGATTAATGTGCATTTTGAAATACTAATTCATAGCAGGAAGAATACTTACAATGCTGAATATGTGAAAAAAAATTATTCATGTTCATTATATAGCATAGCCTGGGCTTCAAAATAAGTGAGTAATTCTCAAAGTATTTTCCAACTTATTTTGTACAATAATGAATAGGAAGTCACAACAATGATGAAGTCAAACTTTTCATGTACTAAAACACTACTAGACATGTGCCAGACACAATTCCAGGTGTTTTGCATATTTAACAAATCTTCACAGTAACCCTGAGAGGTAGATGAACTAAACTTCATTGTCAAATAAGGAAAGGCTCAGAGAGATTAACCTCATTTGCTCAGGGCTATACACAAAGTTTCTAGCTATTAGGGACAAAAACCAAAGCCCAGGCTATATGACTCCAAAGGTCATCTACTTAATCCCTCCTTTCCATTTTCATGCATATATAAAAAAAAATTTAAGGTGTAGTATCCTAGAAAATATCCAAAAAGTCATTTTAGCGTTCAGATAACATTTCTATCTGGGAGCAGCACCCAATGATACATAAACACAGTGCATCGAGGATGCAAGCTCTTCCTCTACAAAATGGAGCTTACCTTTAACAGAAATGTTGAAAGGCTTTTCCACCATCCCAGCCACAGTGTTCACGCTGCAGACCCAGACTCCTGAGTCAGGGGGGAGGATGCGGTGGATAGTGAATGTGGCCACTGACAGATGACTCGTAAGGTTGAAGTCTTTCGGCTGGAAGGGTCAAATACAAATAAAAGCTTCTAGGGAGGCATAAACACACGAAAGGTCCATAACACTGACCCCATCTCATTGTTTGATAAGAAGTTTTCTAGGAGAGATTAAGAAGCCAAATGCAACACTAGTATAATCACTGGCTTATTTCCAAAGCTATTGTAGTAGCCCTGAAAGTTTATATTGGATTAATGCCCTCTCAGATCCTGCTGTTGTGTTTGTGTGTTTGGGAGTGTGGGGTAAACACTTAACAGGCTAGGAATCTCATTCCTTTAAACTGCTCTGGTAAACATTTGTCCCTTCCCTGTGTAATACAGAGATGGCTGGGTGAGAGGACAAAATGGCTTCCCAAAATAATTGAGGAGCTATCGAGTGGAGTATCGTGGGAAAAATCAGGGCTCTGAAGACACATGGACCTCAAATCACATCCCTACTCTGCCACTCTTGACCAATCCCTTACTCAAATTCAGCCAGCCAATTTCCACTTCTATAGAAAGAGGACAGGGAATATTAAGCAGCATGAATACAGCATGGTTGACCCTCACTAGATGGTAGCTGTTACTTCCATTAACTCAGGAAAAGGCCAACAAGATTTTAAGAAGCTGTCAGTTGGCTTCACTACCTAATGAGTTGTTTGAGTGGAATCAGGAACATCTGATGTGTAGAAACCAATAATGGCACATTCTACATATCCCGCTCCCAGGGGACCACTGGCATCTACCCTCTTGTCAGGTTGATTTTCAGTCATCTTTGAGAGGGAAAAAAAAAAAAAAAAGATAACCATTTCAAAATGCTTAGATAAGAAAATACATCAACTTCCTGAGGATCTCTGGTGACACAGAGAATTTTGGGGAACTCCTATCTGTGCTGCATTTGAGATTGTTGGAAGAGAGAAGGGGAACATATTGAAAAGTTGCTTAGTCCTTTCCAGCAAAGAAGAACTGCTTGGACAACAACCTAATCAGTGCTGAGCACCAGCAACAAGGGCAGAGTGAAGAGGTCGGGGGCCCAAGAAATATATTCAGATCTAGGGGATTCCATGGTTTATGGTTTCTGAATGGGAAGTGTGAGAGCAGATCTATATAGAATCAACCAAATTAGGCTGAACTCCCCTCTTTTATACTCTAATTTTTGTTCCAAAGAACACAATAGAAGTAGACCAGTCATCAGAGTTCCATTTCTTGATAGCACGTGGTAGGTAACATGAGAATCTCCTGCTGATTCATGGTGCCACACCTTGCCACACCCTTTGGTGGTGGCCACAAGACCACCTCATTCTTCCCGATATGAGAAGTTAGAACACGGGGGTATACTGTGAGGAGCAGAGCCTGCACAGACTGACGTATACCTCTCAACACACACGGTTGGAAAGTTCTGCAGGATGAGTGCGATCGGCGGCACTCAGCTTCCTCAATTCCACTGTGGTGGTCTCTTTCCAACCTTGCCCTGTGGTGCTGGCCAGGCTGCAGTGACTCTGCTCTACCTCCCCAGGGACACGGCATTCGGTCCAAGATAACAACACTCTGGCTTCGGAGGATGCAATCCCCGGGCTTGGACCCAGCCTGTAGCAAGGGGATTACCCATTGAAAGCATCTAGTGGTGTCAGGAGGCAGATTAAGAATAACTCTTACATGGAGCACTGTCCCATCTGGCTTCACGAGAGTCATTTCTTCATTGGCAGGTAGTGGCCAGCCAGACGCTTTGCAGATGGGGTTAAATTTACCACTGTTTACTTCTATGTGATCCGGCAAATCCTCTATCTTTGGGATCATCCTTGGCGTGCCTGCATGAGAAAAACAGCTCTGTGAAATCTAATCTTTGACACAGCAGCGACAGTAATAAAAGCAGCTACCATTTGGCAAGTCACATCCCAGGTAAGAAACTTGCAAGTATTATATTGTTTTATCATCACATAATAAGTTTGTGGGGGAACGCTACTGTGGTCCCCGTTTTACAGATGAGGACACTGAGGCTCAGAGTCCAGAATCAAGCTCAGATCTGTATGAATCCAGAGTCCTCACTCTGCCTTAATGCTGTGCTCCCCTCAGTGGATCTGGGATGGACAGTCTTATATTAAAATGATCATCATGACCACATCTTCCCTGGCCTTACTTTTCAGCTCCTTTTTACGTTTTAAGAGAATGTTAACAAAAACTAAAGCAAAAACAAAAACTAGGTCCTCTTGGACTCCGCAAACAATCCCACAATATTGCTGACCAACATGATCCTCCATTTTGATATACAAGACACAGCGCATTGAATCTGCAAGTAGCAAGTGATGAAAAACATTCACACTTACATGCAAGAAGTGAAGTGGAATAGAAATACTCCCCCAAACTGCTTCTAGGCAACAGCCCAATCACAAGTGTTGCCGCCAATACTGAAAGACGTCTCTGATATCAACAAGGGTATCAGGACTCCTTGCCTAATACCTACATTGTAGAGAATGAATAATCCTGAAATATAACAATTTTATTCTGAATTGTAGGGTCTTAGAGAACCTCATCCCTTTGTAACTACATGTGAGACACAGTAGAAAACAGTCCAGCACTTAGTGAAGACTGGGGTTATTGGAAATGCCCCCCAAGAGCAGCAGGGACTTACAAGCTGTTGGACACTTGGGGGGGGGTGAGGGTAGGCGGGGCCACGGTAAACACAACATTCATATTTTATATTGATGTCCTATTTCCCGGGCCTAGAACACAATGAGTAAAGGGTATGGAGCAGGAAGGGAAGAGGTCTAAGAACTACAAGGTAATTCCTTGACCTGTCTGTAGACTTGAAGGGACTGTGATTAGAATCTACCAGATTTTTCGGCTTAAGAAATTATTTGCGTAGGAACTTTAAAAAGGGCTTTGACACTTTGAAGGCAGTTAAGTCTTTCCTGCACTGTCGCCTTGCATTTCCTGCAGTCCGCCGGAGGTGAAGGTGGGTGCACAGGTGGAGATGGAGAAGAAGCGGGCGGGGGTGGGGGGGTGGGGGGGTGGTGCGGGGCTGCTCTCTGAAAGCCAGGGGCCTGGATCTAGGTCTGAGGTGTTCACCCCTTTTGCAACTTCAGGCTCAGAAAAGAAAAGCAGGCATGAAATTGAAAATTCAAATCCTTCAGTTTGCTAACTGCCTATCTTCAACCCAATCCTCCAGCAGCCCCAAGGCCTTTCCTTCCCTTCCTAGACCCTCCCAGGTTCCTGCCCTGCGGCCAAAACTCCGAACACTGGGGGAAGAAAGTGAATACGTAAAACTAAGCCAAAGCCTTTGAGAAAACAATTGTTGGTATTTTCCTCCCATATTTGTTCGATTTTAAAAATGAACAGAGAAAAAGCCGTAAAGGTCTTGGTCTTGCTGCTGAGTGTAGATTCCTTTCTGTAACATTTAGATTTGTAGGATTGGAAAAGTAATATATGTTCATTATTTTTACATTTTGAAAATATGTAAAAATGTGTTTCTTTTAATTTTAAAAAGTATATTCTAGGGCAGGAATGAGCAAACTTTTTATGTAAAGGACTAGACAGTAAATATTTTCAGCTTTGCAGGCTGAAAGTTCTCTGGTAACTAACTACTCAACCCTGATGTCATATGCAAGCAGCCATAGATTCTAAATTCTAAATAAATTAGTGTGGCTACGTGCCAATCAAATTAACAACAGACAGTAGGGAAATAAAAAGGATAAATGCTACAATACAGTTAAACCTCAAAAACTGTATGGTCAGTGAAAGAAGCCAGCCACAAAAGACATCATGTGTGATCCCATTCACAGTTTATGAAGTGTCAAGAATAAGTTAACCTATAGAGATAAAAAGTAAATTCATGGTTGCCAGGGGTGGGAGGAGAGGAGAATGGGAGTTACGACTAATAGGTACAAGCTTTTTTTTGGTATGGCAGAAACATTCTAAAATTAGATTGCGGTAATGGTTGCACGACACTGTAAATATACTAAAAATCATTCTATTGTACATTTAAAAGGAATGAACTTCATGGTATAAAAATGGTATCTCAATAAAGCTGTTAAAAAAAATAGCAGACTGGATTTGATCTGTGGGTCAGAGTTTGTGGACCCCTGGCTCTACAGTAATTTCTGAACTAGAATTACTTAAAATTTCGTTTTGAGGCTTCATCTTTTCTCTTTTTGCTTCTTTTTTTTTTTAATCTTTCTTTTCAGAAATATCCTTTGTCCAAATCCCTCCAAAGTAGTTCTTCCCTGTTGTATGTATCCTGGGAAAAGACCGTTCCTGGGGAAGGGAGCAGATGAGGTAGGCAGAGCCCCCGGCTAGCCAGTGTCACTCTCTGTGCCACAAAGAGCACATGGTTTATTCCCAGTGGAAGGAGAAATGAAGGCCAGTAGGAGGGCCTGTAGTAAAGAATAAGAATGTTGTCCTTTAGGACTTGGGATATATTCTTCCCAACTTCTGGATGGAAACAGAAGGGGTTTGAGGAATTTGGGCTGGTGGGGCAAGAATTATAACCAGCAAAGCTCAGTTCAGACATGCTAAACGTGGCCCTAACTACAGTGTTACCTTGCTTTACCTTCATTCTCACACTGGAGCCCTTGGCGTTCTGGAGAGCAGAGACATCCTTGGAACCGATCACACAGCTCCCCATGGGTGCACCTGCAACTAAGCTTACAGTCTGGCCCGTAATAACCCGGCTGGCAAGCTGTGAACCAAGACACCAGAACCATTGTTAACAGAGACGAAGGGAGAAAACTAAGGCTGTGGGTGGCTAGAAGGTGAAGTTAGTACTGCCTCCATAAGGCCCACAGAAGAAAAGATCTTCTTCTATTTTCAAATCCCAAATCCTGTCTGGATCGGACCTCAGAGCTCTGCTATCTACAGCCCACTGAAAAAAAAAAACAAAAAAACAAAAAACAAATCTCTATGGCCTTCCAACTCAAAGTGTGGTCTCAAAACCAGCAGTGTGAGCACCATCTGGGAGTTTTGGGAAACGCAGGCTTCAGGAGCCAGTCCACCACCTATGGAATCAGAGTCTGTGTTTTAATAAGAACCCCAGATGATTTGCTTGAGAAGCACTCTCTATAAGGTCCAGAGTCTTAATTATGAAAGCATCGTTAACTTGGGATGAAAACATCTGTGATTCAAAACCCTGTAGCTCAGCCCTGGACAGCTGAGTCAACAGTCCAGGTACCTCCCACGCTATCATCTCCAGCAAGCTGGATCTCCTTGGTATACCTGCTAGAACGTTTTTTGTTCAAGGGTGTGATTGGCACATACCTTCATTGCATTGCAGACCCTGCCAACCTGTGGCACAGGAGCACCCATAGGGGTCTGGGAGACAGAACACATAGGACTTGCATCCCTCTGCTCCACTACACCTTTCTTTACAGGTTCTGCCAAATGTGTGCAGCTCACAAGCTTTGGGGGTGGGGGGAGAAAAAGATGATTCAGCGTCAAATATTCAACCCCTTGAAATGTATGCATCTTCTTTTACGGGTCTCCCCTAGACTAGTGAAGATGGAAAATAATCCAATCTCAGCTGTGGTATGGACAGCCTTACGGTGATTGGCAATAAAGAACCTTTAGGAAAGGGTACCTTTTTCCAGTTCACACCAAGGTCCCACAGGACCTAACACGGGCCATTTAGTTTCTGTTCCCAGTGGTGTACAGAGTTAAAATTCTACATCCAGCAATGATGGCTTTTTATTTTTTTTAATTTTATTTTATTATGTCATGCTAGTCACCATACAGTACATCATTAGTTTTTGACGTAGTGTTCCATGATTCATTGTTTGTGTATAACACCCAGTGCCCCATGCAGAACGTGCCCTCTTTAATACCCATCACCAGGCTAACCCATCCCCCCCACCCCCCGCCCCTCCGAAACCCCCAGTTTGTTTCTCGGTGTCCATAGTCTCTCCTGGTTTGTCTCCCCCTCCGATTTCCGCCCCTCCCCCCCGCTTCATCCACAACTTACTCATCAAGCACTCTTGACTTACCCTTCTCACAGGTCTTCCCCATGAACCCAGGTGGGCAAATGCATTCTCCTGTATCTTCGTGGCAGACACCATTGTTCTTACACTCAGTGCAGACACGGTTACATTCAGGTCCCCACTTCTGAGCTTCACATCCTTTTAAGGAAAACAAGGCTCTGGTGAGTAGAGCACACTCACTCCCCAAACCTTTACTGAGCACCTACAACATGGCAGTCATTTTAGCGGACACTAGTAAATGAAGAGAAACAAAATACAATCTCTTAAAAGCTAACAGTCTTCTCTGGGAAACAGACATGGAAACAGGTAATAAGGATAGAAACAAAGACAAGGAGGGGCACCTGGGTGGCTCAGTCAGTTAGGCATCTGCCTTCCACTTGGGTCATGTTTCCACGGTCCTGGGATCGAGCCCCGCATCGGACTCCCTGCTTGGCGGGGAGCCTGCTTTTCCCTCTCCACCTTGCTTGTGCTCTCTGTCGCTATCTCTGTCTCTCTCTCTCAAATAAATAAATAAAATCTTAAAAAAAAAAAAAAAAAGACAAGGAGTACCTAATCCCGTCTTGGGGATAGAAGAGGGTATAAACGAAGGCTTTCCCGGAGGAGGTGGTATGTGAGAGAGGACTCTGCATGACCACATAATCAACAAAGAAGATAGGCTGCAGAGTGTGTTCCAAGCAAAGGGGAGGCAGGGAAGGAGAGCCTGGCATTTTTCCAGAGCTGCAGGTACAATCAGAGCTAGAACAATGGTTTTCCAAGTGTGATCCCTGACCAATAGCTTCTCCATTACCTGGGAATCTGCTAGAGATGCAAATCTCCAGTCTCAAACTGCATCTGAATCGGAGGTGGCCTAGCAATCTATGCTTACCAAGTCCTCCAGATAATTGTGATGCATGCCAGAGTGTGAGAACCTCTGGTCTACAGTCTGTAGAGACAAGATTCAGCTCAGAAGCTAGTAGCATCCACCTGTTTTCAGGTAAAAAACATACAGGAGGTGAAAGAATATAACTAAGACCTAAAGTACAAGAATGGTAAAAGGCTTCTATATTCTTATTTCCTAGATACTTCTTTCTAACATTTTGTGATTTTAGATGGTTTTTTGGGTCCAAAAACACCTTCTGATATAAGGAAAAAACGCAAGGGGGTTGGCATGACCTTTTGTGGTCAGGGATTTAAATTTCACATCTGAAAGGAACTAATGTCTTTGTCCCTGAATGTTAGTCTCACGGTGGTAAGCTTGGACCTGTGCCTACAGCTGATGTAACTTTATAATTTCTTTGGCAAGAACCCCTGGTTATCAGTATTTTCTCTAAAATAATCAGGAAGACTGTCTACACAGACCCTTTCTTACAGACTTCCATTTAATAGATAAAGCTACAAAATGTCTAAAAGTTAATATTTACATGCCTTAATATATAAAGGGAAAAATACTTCTGCACAATTAGTGATTTCTTAAGAGCCAGACCACAGGTTATTTGCACGTGTTGAAAACTAATGATGGCAGCTCATGGAGAAGAAAATGGGCTTCCTGTTACATTAAACTGTCTCTAGCTCTCTACTTATCTATAGACCTTTCCCAGCTTCTCCCCTCAGCCTGGGAAAGACAAAAGAATAAAGCTTGAGGGGAAAACTGGAGTGACCTCCTGGGGATAGAGAAGCTAGGAAAAGAGTTTGTTGATAAGCAACAAGATGTGATCAGGCTTCTGCGATTTTCATCAAAAGCCCTGAGTTTTTATATTTTAGGAAATCAAATATTCGTGAATACGGAGAGAAATCCTATAAACTCATTGGTTGTTTAAGAAACTTCTTATCCTTGTATTTTTATACCAACACAACGCTGGGCACAGAGTTATGTTCAATATATATTTGTTGAATGAACAAACGAATGAATATAATGCAAAGAAAAAGAATAACTGTTCATGAGTTAGAGATTCCAATCATTAGAAGAATGACAGAACAGCCCAAATACTTAGACCTGAGTTGTTTAATATCATGAACACTTGGTATAGCGAGGAAAAGCCAAGGCAGGTTTTTCTTTCTATAAATCAATTTCTTATAAAAACTAATGGTTGATAGTTACTCCCCACTTTGATAGTTGTAAGGGGGGGAGCAGAGTGTTTATACTAGTTCTAACTAGTGAATGTTAGATGTTATTTATTATTTATTTGAGAGAGAGCACGAGGGGTTAGGGAAGAGCGGGGGTCGGGGGGGGGAAGAATCTTAAGTGGGCTCCGTGCTGAGTGCAAAGCCCAACGAGGGGCTTGATCTGATGACCCTGAGATCATGACCTGAGCTGAAATCAGCAGTGAGGTGCTTAACTGACGGAGCCACCCAAGCGCCTCACAGGAGACTTAATGTTTAACTAAATATTAGACCAATCCAGAAGGCCCAACACATCCCCATGTATCAGATACCTTTAAGGGAGACTGCCCAGTTCACTGTATGCCCCCTTTTAATGGGAAGGAAGCTGCTATTCAAGTGTGAAGTCCTAGAGAGCACTGTGGTATGCAGCTCCACACTTGACTATGGCTCACTGGTCTAGGCCAGGAGACAGCTGACATATATTAGGCCAACCTGATTCTTTATCCTGGGAATTCAAATTTAGTAAGTAAAAGAAACATTGCTGAAGCACAGTTAGGGTAAGAGTAGCCTCCTACAGAGAAAGTCCATCCACCCCCACCCATGCTGAGCCCCAGATCTTCCCTGGGGCCTATCTTTTCTGTCAGCTGTTCCACCAATTTTCTAGAGTCCTTAGTATACTTCCAACCAATCCCTGGTTTTTGCTTAAGTAGCCAGAGTCAGTTTCTGTTATTTGCAGCTAAAAATCCTAACAAACAAATCATCACAGATTTTGGCCTCTCAGTCACTTACTCCGGACTATCAGTCTGGTGAAGGCCGAGGTGAAGAGGTTTCCTCCTATGTACCTGGCTGAGTACACTCCAGCATCCTGGGGCTGAGCGTGAGGCAGATGCACTTCTAAAATATCAGGTACTTCGTGCCGGGGCACTGAGTGGATGAAGGAACCTTATAAGGGAGAAGAGTGGAGAACAGTGGGTCACACGCAGACACTCCTGTTTCCCTATCTGGCCTCTCCACTTCATCAGCTCTCCCTGACTGGATACAGAAAATGTGCTCTAGCATATTGGATGTAGAAGAATGAAAAGGCTGAGCCATGCAATGCTCTCCCCCAAATTGAAAAAGTTATGGTGCTAGAGCAGATAGGCTAGTCTACACAATCTACCAGCAAAGGTATGAACATAGAGGTAAGGCTAAAGTGCTTATCTTCTGCAGGAAGAGATGAACAGGCAAAGGCATCCCTGCCACTAATCTATTAACCAGGAGATACCTAGAATCACTAGTCCAATATGGAAGTCCTAACCACCCACAGAACCCAGAAGAGGCCCCATCAATATTTCAGCTGGACGAGGTGACTGCCACCAGGTGGTGCCAAACCACAGGTGGAACTGGACAGATTTGTAAGACACAGTTGGACTCCCAGACCTACCACCAGCTGGCTTCCCAGGCTCCATCTGGTAATTTCCTTAACCTTGCCATCAAGCAACCCTCATTTCACATGGCTGAATTTGGGACCTCACTTATCACATCATGGGAGTTTATTGTACATTCACAATTTCATATTATATATTCATAAATATAGAATGTACGTACATTCATATATGTATATAAATCTCTATTTCACTTGATTAAGCAACCGACCACATTGCCTAATAGAGCTTCTTTAATAAGATTCTACTGGCTTGCATTATAACAGCTTTGCTTCCAACATCTACCCCCAAGACTATACCAGGATAATGACCCAATACGTTTCGTGCGATCTCATGTCTCACACCATGGTGCTGGCAGGAAATGAAACACATACTCACCATTTTTGTAAATCACTGCATCTTCTTCTTTAGTCAACACCTTTTTGAAAGATATGTTCACATTATCTCCCCTGTCCACAGTCATGGTTAAAGTAGCTGGTAGGAAGGAAGCTTTTAAAAGAGAGAAAGAAAACAAATAAGAAAATGAGGTCACACATTTTCTCCAGGAGCAACTGAACTTTGAACTTCAGAAGATGGGGGCTGGCACTTGCCAGAAGTCAGCTGATTTGTAACAGGAAAAATAATGGCAGCTAATGGGTTTTAAACTTCATTAAGGTTTTGAAAAATGTGATGAAAGGAATAGTCATTCTCTCCGTAAAAAGGTAAATATATATACACACACACACACACACACACACACACACACACACACACACTATACATATACACATTTTTTTCCATACAACTAGTTGGGGAGATAAGGACTTTATGTTGATTAATATCTGATATCAAACTAAGACCTGATATTAGCTATAAACTATAGTAACAATGAATCAAACACCCTTCTCCAATCCCTACCAAGTTTTCTCACAGTGGAAAATAATAGAAATGGTTAGATATTTGCCAAATGGCTCTTCCCTTTTGGGTCATGGTCCTTTTGGGTTGTATTGATCCAACTAATTCTAATTGCTTTGGAATGCTACAAGCATTTCTCGAATGGAATCAGCACAATGGTGGACTTTTTACCAATGGTGTAAATATTGGACTATTGGACAATAAGGCAAAGATGAGATCCAGTATCTTCCTTTGAATTGTATATATAAATATACATTATATAATATAAATATATAATTAAATATATAGACATACACACATACTGACATAAAAATCAAACTGGGCAGTACTGGGAAGACCCTAGGGAAGCTATTGTATATTTGGCTTTATAAAACCCTTTTGGAAACATCTTTCTTTGTGTCAGTCTTGGAACACAACATTGCCAGAGTCCTTTGGTTTGTTGGACAAGATGTATGAATAAAATCTTCTAGCATTCTTCCAGCCACAATTGAATTTCCTTAATTTACACCATAATCTACAGAGAGCCACAATTACAAGAATAAGGGAGGATTAACTTTAGGCTTTATTGAGGTAAGCCAATTTTTAAAAATTTCAGCCTTATTGAGATATAATTGACATACAGGTTAAGCCAATTTTTAAAATTTAAGGATCACCACTAAAAGAAGAGAATCAGAATATATGATTTTCCTAAACATGGAGGGCAGGAGAGACATAAGGAGAGAAAAAAGCCCAAATAAAAATCACAGCATACAGAAAAGATAGATTCTGCCAAATGCATGTCAAAAGCCAGAGAATCCTAGAACGAATTTTTAAAAAATACACACACATATATATATACATATATATGTGCCCTTTTTCATGACCTACACATTAAACATAGTAACACATAAGACTGAGGGAGAGAAAAATGTATGCCAGACTCACTAACTGAAAGAAGCTTGTATTGTAATATTTATGTCAGAAAAAATAATTTATTCCAAAGCCAAAACAAAATTTTAGGGATAAAGATGGTCTTTATATGATGATATAAAAAATGGAAGATCTAGTAATCGTGAACTTATATATGCATCTAACAACAGCTTCAAAACCCACAAAACAGAAACTGACCAAATTAAAGGAAGAAACTGACAAATCCACAAGCATTGTGGAAACTTGCAGAAATTGATGCATCACAGACCAAAAATAACTAAGGACAAATAAAGAAAACCTGAGTAATGCAATAAAGATCTGTTGGCAATTCACGGATCCCTGTACCCAGTTATAAGAACATGTGTTCAAGAATATTGCCTCCTTTATTAAGCCACAAAGCACATCTCTATAAATAACATAGAATCAATATCCTGTAGAACAAGTTCTCTGACCAGAAGCACCTAAATTAGAAATCAGTAGCAAAGCACCCTGTGCCCTAAGGTTTGGATCCCTATGGCATTTCAGCCTAAGAGCAAGCAAGCCTGCTGCAGACCGCGGGGTGAATCAGCCTTCCTTCCTGGCTCCTCTGTGGCTCTCGGACTGGTGGCTTGAGAGAGGCTGATTAGGTACGTGCACACCATGGGCTTAGAGGGCTACCCTGGGGGCAGAAGATGCCTTGAACTACACTCAGAAGTACTCAGCTTTAGGTTCCTCCGCCTGTTCTCTGTGCCTGCACACCCAGGCATGGTGCCCTGCCAGGACAGCCCCATCAACGTGTTTGGTGACATGGGGCACATCTAGAGAGAAAATGGGATAGATCCAAGGGCAGTGTGAGCACTCAAAGAAGACAGTCCTGGGCTTGAAGCCACTCTCCACCACTTACTGGACCTCTCTGCATGAGTTACTTAACCTCTGAACATCTCAGCTTCTTCGTCTCCAATTTAGAAGTAAAAGTATTCACTTTGAAAGGTTGTTGGGAATATGAAATGATATATTCCAAGCCCCCAGGTACTTAGAAGAGGTCAGTATCCTTTCCAAATAACAACAAATGGCAACACTGCTGAGCTGACATTTGTAATATGGAGAACTGTGGCAGCTTTCTCACAGTTCTAAGATGGATCAAGCATGCAGGGAAGGCACGCACGACCAGCAGGGAGACCTAATGGGGCTCCTGCTCGCAGTGACAAGGGCCTTCCTCAAGCAAAACTAACGCGTTCAGCTCCTGCTCTCTGTGGCATGATCCCGGGCTCCTGTGAGAATCTTTTTGACCATTTTATACGGTTGTTCCTTTCTCTGTGGTTTGTTTTGATTTTCTGCCCCTTTGTGTGAAGATCTGACCATGGAACTTCTCACTCAGCTTTGTATCCTGAAAAGGAACTGACATTCCCCACTAGGCTTGACTCTGACTCCAATGGGGCTTTTCTTTTTCCCCCACTCTGTGGCTCTTTATTTTTTCAGATTTGGTGGCTTTTAAGTTCCCTGTTTTCTTTCTTTCTTTTTTTTCTTAAGATTTTATTTATTTATTTGTCAGAGAGAGAGAGAGAGAGAAAGAACAACCAGGGGGAGCAGCAGGGGGAGAGGGAGAAGCAGGGTCCCCGCTGAGCAAGGAGCCCGATATGGGACTCGATCCCAGGACCCTGGGATCATGACCTAGGCTGAAGGCAGACATTTAATAGACTGAGCCACCCAGGCGTCCCATAAGCTCCCTTTTTTCTTAGGTGGAAACATGGTCACAGCAGAGTCCACTGCTATCCAGTCTGCCACCTCCTGTATTAGGGGCTCTAGGTTGACTGTTCTCTGCTGAGTATTAATAAAGGGGTCTACAACCTTCATGCTGTGCTTTGATGACAAAGGAGCCCCACTTGGACACAGTACACATAGATTAATGTCATGTGACTTGACTGGATGATGAAAACAATAAGCACCTTTCAATAGTGCCTACTATCAGGCACTACTTTTTCTAAGCACTTTATACAGATTTAATTTTCACAATGTCTCTATCAGATAGATCCTACAATTATCCTAATTTTACAAATGAGGAAATTAAGATACAGAGAGGTAAAGTAACTTGTCCAAAGTCACACAGCAAGTTCATGGGAGGGTCAGGATTTGTGCTAGGTTACTTGGCTTTGGAAGCCTTTCAGAGGTTATATAATGTTAGCACTCAAAAGGCTTTAAAGTCCTAGTACCTCGTTTATAAGTGAGATTGCTAGGGCCTGAATCTGAAGGTGACTTGTTCAAGGTCATTTGGATGGGTTAATTCATCGACAGAACTTAACTAAGGACATGATTCATTTATTCTTTAAGGGCTGGTGAAGAGAAGAGATGGTAGTAACAGTTATGAACAAAGATATTTCTCATCGATGTAAAATAATTGAGTTCAATTTTGGGTGTCTCCTTTAATGACAAAGACTAAGCGTAATGATGTAGTTTTATGTCCGTTATTATTTTGTACAGTCTCACGAGTGTGCTATCCACTGTCTACCCATGTGGGAGATGGAGTTAAGGGTGACTTAGTCCCTTACCCGAGGCCTCCTGACTGTGAATCCGTGTGAAAGCTGAGACACAAACTCAAGATGCCCACACTTGCTCAACAACACTAGCTCTCCAGACCCATCTCCCTCCAGGCCCCGTGCCTCAGCTCTCAACGGCAGCCATTCTGAACTATATTCAGTTCTGCAAATGGACCACGGGATCACTCCCACTCAAGTCACGAACTTCCTTCTCCTCTGCTCCTTCCTTTCCCATATGTCTCACCAAGCCCCACTCATCCTCAGTCTCCATGTAGATGTCCCTTTCTCCAGAAACCTTACACATCCCCTGGGATCCGGGATAAGCTCCCCAAGGCTGTTCTCCAAATGCCCTTGCATGTCCCCATGCCAGGCCCTGCACAGCACAGCACCCCTGCTAGACTGAAGCGCCAAGACACAAGTTCATGTCTGTTTTGAAAGGCAGCACAGGGTGTTGGTTAGGGCCTGGCTTCTGGGATCAGCCTGCGTGAACCTTCCCAGGTCCAACAATGGAAACCAGGTGTGTGAATGCACCTAAGTTGCAATAGGTATAAGCCTCATCTATTAAAACCAGTCCTGGGGCGCCTGGGTGGCTCAGTTGGTTAAGCAACTGCCTTCAGCTCCGGTCACGGTCCCAGGGTCCTGGGATCGAGCCCCGCATCGGGCTCCCTGCTCGGCGGGAAGCCTGCTTCTCCCTCTCCCACTCCCCCCGCTTGTGTTCCCTCTCTCGCTGTCTCTCTCTGTCAATTAAATAAATAAAATCTTTAAAAAAAAAAAAAAAAACAGTCCTAACAGCCCTCACCAGAGAGACATTTGGTAAAGACTAAATTATACAGTAACCTATATAAAATGGCTAGGGGAATGTCAGGCACGTAAGTATTCAGGAAATGTTGCCGTCACTGCAGCTCCCATGTGTGACACAAAAAGAGGCCTAAGAGTACTTGAGGAATGAAAGAATATATGGATGAGTCAGATCTCAAGTTTTCCTCTTTATGCTTTTAACACATTCCTTTGTGTTATTCATTTATTTTTAAAGATTTTTTATTTATTTATTTGAGAGAGAGAGAGAATGAGAGAGAGCACAAGAGTGAAGAGGGTCAGAGGGAGAAGCAGACTCCCTGCTCAGCAGGGAGCCCGATGTGGGACTCGATCCCGGGACTCCAGGATCATGACCTGAGCCGAAGGCAGTCACCTAACCAACTGAGGCACCCAGGCGCCCTCCTTTGTGTTATTTAGATATAAATGGCTCCTCCCTAACAACTTCACAAACCCTCTTTGCAAGGTTTGATGTCCTTAAAGTAAAGCTCTTTCTCAAATGAAACTAGGAAGAAAATAACCTATGTTTCCTGATGGACACTCTGAGACAGCCGTTTAGATGTGAAAAGGTTTCAAACTTCATTTATACCTCCCTACCGCCAAATGAAATCACCAGTGAGGTTGGAACAAAATGCTTTTGATTTTTTTTTCTTTTTTTGCATGATGCCATTGATAAAAACAGTTTGGCCATTTGGAGTGTGCGAGCCAAGGTAAGCGTGCTTTGGCACATCTCAAATGGATTTTCCACTTCCTCCCCAGATGCACGAGTCAGCAGCAAGCAGGGGATACATCACTGTTTATCTTATCCTGCTATGTCCCTGGGCAGGCACCTCTGAGATCCATAGTGTTTTGCTAGGGAATTAATAGTGTCACGAAGACATCGTTGTGGAGGTTTTCCTGATTCACCATAAAGGATATCACTTTCCTCCCACTGTATTTCAGCTCCCGGATGGTCAGCGAAAGAAACGGAATCAGTTCAACAGCCTGAGATGTTGTTATTAAAATGCAGGAGAGAAAGCACTACCTCTTGTTCTATTCTGTATAAATTTCCACAATTATGTTAATGGATGGTATTACTTTTTTTCACAAATGAATAGAAAAATAGTCTTACTAAATTATTGCTTATTCCAAGGCACTATGATGATTACTGAAGACTTACTATGAGCCAGGTATATTGGTGGTCTCATTTGATTCTCAAACGTCTGGGGTAAAATCCCTACCTCCGTTATTTTTTTCAAATGAGAAAAATGATTTCTTTTTTTCTTAAGATTTTATTTATTTGTTTGGCAGAGAGAGACACAGCGAGAGAGGGAACACAAGCAGGGGGAGTGGGAGAGGGAGAAGCGGGCTTCCCGCTGAGCAGGGAGTCCGATGCGAGGCTCGATCCCAGGACCCTGGGATCATGACCTGAGCCGAAGGCAGACGCTTAACGACTGAGCCAGCCAGGCGCCCCAAGAAAAATGATTTCAGTCAAGTAGTTTGCCCTGCATCCTATGATTCAGTTGCAGAGCGAGGCTCAAACCCATGTCTCTACACTGTGCCTGGGTGGCTCTGCAGGCTTTCCATTGGAGATGCTCTACTTTATAAACCAAGCGCTCAGAATGGGGGAGGGTGGTTAACAGTAAGTGGGAGGGATGTGCCAAGCATATGGTAATGGTCATCCACACAGGCTCTGCAGTCAGGTCACTTGGCATCAAATCCCCATTCCCACCATTTACGAACCGCTATTGTTACTCTGTAACTTACTCTGCAATATCTCATTTCACGCCAGCTTTTAGCAAAACATCTACTGTATCCATCAAATTTTCATGTAAATTCACTATGGGAACTGGTTTTGGTATACACCATCTTATTTAAAACTTAAGATGATTTTGAAGGCACTGTTATACTCATTTCACAGGTGATGAAAAATGAGACCAACGGAGGTTAAGGAATTTGCCCAGGGCCCCAGAGCTGGTAAATGGTGGAGACAGAATTAAAACTCAGGTGAACAGGAGTCTAAAAGCCATCTTCTCTCCACGCTTTCTCACTAGCAAGCCTGCCTTTACCTCATTTAACTGAATTTAAGCTCTCTGTTACCTGCGCTGGCCTAGACTTTCAGTTTGGAGCCGTTATTACTGTTGGTCCTCGACTCCCAAAATTCTAGTTTAATATACTCTACAGGTTCTTATTTCCACACTGTCAAGGACAGACCCAGGCCAGCCTGAAAAGGGCACAGTGGCACCTCACATTTCATGCCTATGAAGCCAATGGGGCACAAATCTCAGGTTATCCTCATTCAGAATGTGGAAACATCAGCAGAAAGGCATAACTCTTTATACGAGTCAAATCCTGAATGACATGTGTGAAAAATAATAGGGCTGACTTTTTAGCCATGATAGCTTTGGCACACCTCACATCCCTTTGTTCAAGCTCTCTTCCCTCACCGGAGAGCAGCATTCCTGGGAATGTCGGTTGTGCACTTTTCCCACTCACCCTAGTGTCATTTAAAGGTGACCGGTACAGTTTTGCTAAGAAAACCTTTTCCTTCATTTGTAATGAAGAGTGGTTTTATCACTTTTGACTTTAAAATGAGCTTGCTGCCTTCAAATCTTTTAATTACCAACATTAGCAAATTCAAAGAAATCTTTTCAGGTGGACCCCAGCGAGGGGCTGACTCTAATGTGGTCCACAGCCCAGAGGCACCTTATCACCTGGGACCTTGTGAGAAATGCACAATCTCAGAACTCTCCTCAAGGACCTACTGAATCAGAGTCTGCATTTTACCAAGACCCACGGGGGATCTATAAGCACATTTAACTTTGAGAAACACTGGTCTAAAAAAATGCAGACTCCTATCTAAAAAACTGTCAATCAGAGACATGTGTAGAGGTGTGTTATTTATGTGGATCAGTTTAGCAATGAAAAATCAAACCCTGACGAGTTCACAATGTCATTATCTCATGAAATGAGACATTCTCAGGCCACAGTCCCTGTGGTTATGATGGCATGGATCTGGAAAGGACTCCTTCGCTATAGGGATGACCAGCCCAGAAAAAAGGGCTGATGTGTGAGTGGCCAGATCATTCCAGTCAGAACAAGGAGGGGTCATCTCTGCTGGAATTCTGTGCCTTCCTCCCAGTAAGCAGCATCAAGATACCAGGAATCTACCTGCCTGTCCAGGCCTGGGAGCCTGAGGGCAAAATAGAACCATTAAATAATACGCACAACATTGCCTTCTCCAACTGTCATCAGTTTGGTGGCCTCACCTAAAGATTTAGCTTAGAGCCACTTATATTTTGGGAGAAAAGTTCCATCCCATCACTGCCTTGTGAGGTGGTAGCAAAGAATAATATGCCCCTTTGCAGAAGCCCCTCAACATCTCCCTTCAAAGTTCCAGTGCTCTGTGAGCTAAGTGTGGCCACTCAAGTTCTAAAATGAAACCGTGGTCTCTTTCCGAGAATGGTAGCCTGCAACAAGGGCCCCGATTCTTCATCCCTCCCTATCTCTTTGCCATTTAATTGTGGGATGCCCATCCGTTTCAACTTTAGGCTCAGCTCTCTGACTTTCTTGGACAATAAAATGAGACAGGAGTGAGAGCGTGCAATCCTGAGGCCAGCTTTCAGGAAGCCTTGTGTGTTTCCACTTGGCCTCTTGCACTTCTGCCATCTCCGTGAGAATATGCCTAGGCTAGGCTGTGAAAGGAAAACATGCAGGGAACAGAGCCAGGCTGGCACAGCCGAGGCCGGCAGAGTACGCCTACGGTCGGCCAACATCCATGTGGGAGAAAGCCCAGTCCGGAATGGCAGGGCCCCCCAGTCAGCTCAGCTGACTTATACTCACAAACTATGAATGCTCACTGCTGTGTGCCCCTGTGGTTCGTGGATGTGTGGTACACAGGAGCCAATGGCGCACAAATCTCAGGTTATCTTCATTCAGAATGTGGAAACATCAGCAGAAAGGCATAACTCTTTGGCCACAGATAACCGATACACTAAGTAACCACTTAAGTTATTGATAGGTGTTTCCTTTTAAGTTTTTTATTTCTACCACATTGTCCCCTGAAAACAGTAACTTCTGTTAAGAATACTCAGGGGCAAGCAAAACAAAGAATCCAATGAAAAATCAATGAGAAAGCTCAAAACAGCTAATATTTTGGCACGGACTCTTGTCTTCATCGCTGTGATTTCCATATTACATACATGTAACATGTTCATATCTCCCTAAAGGCCACGGAGCTCTTAGTACAATATGTCATACATTTCATTTCATCTCATGAACTAGGCACAATGTCTAGCGAAGGGGCTGAATGTGAGTGAGGTGGACTGGTTGGGCTCTTCTCTCCTGAACACCATGTGTGTACTAGACACAAGCGGAAGACAAGGTCTCCAAGCTCCACACTCACACAGCCCAGGCCCAGTCTCCGACTGAGCGGCTGCCAACACAAGAGCTGTGTATGAGTCTCAGCCAACCTCACGGCCCCAACTAAGGGGCATGTTACCTTGCTGCCGCATCTTCATGGTCCGGATCCTTATTGCTTCTCCTCGAACGCGCCCTTCACAGAAATATGCACCGTTGATTTTGCTAGCCTTTTCTCTCTTCCAAACGACTTTTTTAGCCCATTCTCTGGTCACATCTTGAGTAACTTCCAGGGGATCCTGGTGCTGGTTCATTAAGGCTTCAAAGTCCCTTCCTATAGTGATGGGCTCATGGGGGCGCCATCCAGAGGCGATGCAGGTGAGGGATGTTTCCGCGTCAGAAACGAGAGGTAGGGAATTGATCAGGATCAGGTCCATGGCACTGTCCACTGTTCCTAAAAAAGAAAGAAGATGTGTTGTCTATGAGGAAGGTTATTAACATGGCTCCACAGGATAAATGGGTGCTTACCAAGTCCTGGCTAAAAATAGTTTGGGAGCCGTCTTCCTAAAATGCTACTGTTCCATAGGACAAGATCCAAAACTCTTTACCATGGCATCACCTAGACTCTACTAACCCCTCCTGCCCCACTGCACACCGTAGCTGCCGTGGACTCTCAGTTATTCTCCATTCCCCAAAGCAAAGCTGTGCATTCTATCTCTATGCACTATAGTGTCTGTGACATTAGTTAGGTGTTCAGCAAATGCTTGTTGAGTTAAATTCACAATAGCATTATTGTCATTATTAATGAAAATAATTCTAATTATTAAAAATTAATGATAATGTGGTACTGCCACAGTAAAGTAGTCTCAAGAAATATATCAACTATATACACTGTATGCTAACTTTATACACTCTCATTGTTATCAAAGAATTCCACTAGAGAGGGACTGAAGTCCGCATTTCCTTCTGAGCTTCATTTGCCTCATCTTAAAATGAGGCTAACAAGGGCGCCTGGGTGGCTCAGTTGTTAAGTGTCTGCCTTCAGCTCAGGTCATGATCCTGGGGTCCTGGGATCCAGCCCTGTGCCTTGTTCCCTGCTCAGCAGAAGAATCTGCTTCTCCCTCTCCCTCTCCTTCTCCTGCTCTCTCTCTCTCGCTCACTCTCTCTTTTAAATAAATAAATAAAATCTTTTAAAAAAACAAAGCCTCCTCTAAAAAAAATGAGGCTAACAAGACCCATCTTGCAGGATTCTTGTAAAGATTAAATGAGATAAAGTACCTAACTTCCTAAGCACTGTGTCAGCTATATATGGGGTCAACAATGACCATTATTTCGGTTCTCTTTATTCTGTTTCCTGAACACCTAGTCCCAAACCTCAACCCTCCCCAAATGTAAAAACAAAATTCTACCTGGCCTTTAAAAGTCATTCCATAAATGATGAAGTGCATTCTAGAAAAGAATATCCCTTCTTTTCATGTTCTCCCCCTCTCTTACCTCCCTCCCCTCTCTTCTCTCCTGATTTCCAAAGTTTCTAAGATGAACAAATGAAATCTGTGCCTATTCTCTGCTCCTGTCAAGTGTGGAATACTAGGGATGGAGGATGTTCTCTGGCTCAGGTGATGGTTGATCCCCAAGTCTACATACAATGGACAGGTCAAGCACAATGGATGGCAAGTTCCATGAAGACAAGGATTGAAGCTCTTTTGCTCATACTGACATACATAGGAATACGCTGCCTAGTCTCCACATATGAAGGACTTAATAAATATTTGTTGGATGGGTGGGTGGGTGGGTGATGGACAGAGGGGCAAATTTTATTCGAGATCTGCTTGATTCAAGTTCACCATTCCCACTTCCAGAATAATGAGGTTAAAAGTGAAAGTGTTCTTCTGAATCTAAACTGACTTCCTTGCCCAAATTTAAAAGGCTGTTTTGAGAATTACTGAGTTTAAAGAAAAAAAAGCAAATGTTATGGTTTTTATAAAATGCCACAGAAAGATGATCAATGGTTGCTAAGTATTTAGGATTGACTGGTATTCATTTACCAGATCTTTTTTGAGCCTCTGTTTATGTTAAGCATTATGCCTGCCATGAAGTCCTCATACAATTTTTTTAAATGGCAACTACCAGTGTTGGATGTATACAGTGATGTTTTGAGAATGACACTATTAGGAGTTACATTTTTATCTGATTAATTAAGAAGAATGTCAAAGTCAAGTCTTAATGTAAATGGGAATGTGAGCTATTTTTTTTTCTTGTAATGTTAACTCAATACATGGGATTGAGGGAGAAAACCTTGCCTTAAATGGGTTTATCTGACCCTGAAGCATCTATCTGGCTCCAAGCCTCAATGGTAACTTCACGATCTCCAGAGAAGAGACAGGGGTTGGGATAAGAAAAATGTTGTAAGAGAGGGTAAGTGAGGAAAACTAGCAGTGGAACTAGGGCCTCCAAAAATAACACTGGAGCCCAGCTCGCCTCCATATGTGGGTCCAGCTGTGCCTCGGAGTGAACAGCACCTTGTCTCCCACATTCACTCATTCCAGGCATGTTCCCAGAGAGAGTCATCAGAGGAAGGAAACGCCGTAATTCTTTCAGCTCCGGGTCAATCCAGCCTCATTTCTAGGACCAGGTGAGTGACTTGCCAAAACCAAGGGATCTGCTCTGAACTCACTGAACTTGCTCTGGCACTGGCTCTGGTTTGTTTAATGACCTTAGGAAATAATAGAAAATGCAGCTGATTTGAAAAGACAGCCACACTTCATCTGTACATTGTTTCTAGGTATGGATCTGGTTTCTTTTTCCTTTTGTTCCTCCCAGTTCTCTCCCTTTATTCTCTGTGACAGAAAGGGAAATCGTGTACTTCCGAGGGTCCAGACTGGACTACGCTTTCCTCCCCTTATTCAGCAAGCCACTTACAGGAAGCCCTCTCCCACCAGTGAGTTGTCTGTCCTTTGTAATGCCATTTACAGTGAAGTATCAGAAGGATTTTATATGTGAGCTTTGGAGAGGAGAAGAAATACCTATCAGATCCTGGGATGGATCTTAAAAATCATCTACTTAGTTTTCCTGAAATGAGAGTATGTATTTGTACTTGTCCATATATGCCTAAAGAAATTCTGGAAGGTGAGACATGAAAGAGAATGAGAGTGACCCATTAGGGGAGAGTGGGGTAGCTGGGGGACATGATGAGGGAGGTTTTCCACCGTATACTTATATATGCTGGCTTTTGAACCATTTGAATAATACCTACACATAAAAATTAAATGTAAAAACTAAATGTTATCGCTCTTCCCTTAAAAAGATGCATTAGGAAGGGAATCAAGAACCAGAGGAATATATGCATCTCTCATCATTCGTCCTTACATCCAAATCTCTTTGGATTGCTTCCAAATAATACATTTTTCTCTCTCTTCTTTGGACTAATAGGAAACATGATACCATTCCACAATGCTGGGGAAAAATACATGGGTTAAATACAAACAAACAAACCTTTGCCAACAGGGAGAAGAAGGGTAGCCACACTTGGCTTCTCAAAGAGTGTAAAGGAGCCTAACACAATAGGTACAGCTGTGGCCTGTGGCTTCTTGAAAGCGTTCAGCCACTGACACTGCGAAAGGTGTGACTGCAGGTGCATAGCAGGTGCCACAGAGGAATCTGCTACTGGGGACGTGTGCCTCAGAAAAATTGCCAGAGACAGACCCCATCTGGGCTCACACCGTATCAGCCCCTGTGCCCAACACCTTTTCCTACATTATAGCGCTGTCTTCCCCAAGTCCCGCTGGGGACAGGCGTGCAGTTGTTTCACCTCAAGCATGGTCTGAAGGGCTCTGGTCAAATCCAGTGCTTAGTTCTTGACATGTCCAGCATCATGGCTCCGTTTGCCAAATGAGTAAGTAAGACGCATATTGAATTTCATACATCTTTTATGCTTTGGGGATTGATACTATTTTTCTTTATCAAAGACCTTGCACACACTTTTCAATATTTGCCTAAAATGTGTCTTATTTGTAAGGAAATGCTTTCCATCATGACATGGCATCTGCCAAGTTAACAAATGATTGTCCAACACAGTTGAAGCATAATATCCTAAAATGTTACTTTGCTCACTCTGTCATTTGTGGGCTATACAGCACATCATCTAATCTTTCACAGTAACTTTTGCTTATTAAATTGCATTGTGGTACACTCAAAATGTTTATTGTTTTTGCACTTAGATTTTCTTGTATTCAATGTTGCTCTGAATAATGACTCATTAACTAAGACAAAGAAATACTTTTCTCTAAAAATAGTCATAGATGTGGATGGAGCTAGAGTGTATTATGCTAAGTGAAATAAGTTACTCAGAGAAAGACAAATACCACATGATTTCACTCATATGTGGAATTTAAGAAACAAAACAGATGAACATAGAGGAAGGGGGGAAAAGAGGGAAGCAAACCATAAGAGACTCTTAATGCTAGAGAACAAACTGAGGGTTGATGGAGGGTGGTGGGTGGGGGATGGGCTAAATGGGTGATGGGGATTAAGGAGTGCACTTGTGATGAGCACTGGATGTTATATGTAAGTGATCAATCACTAAATTCCACTCCTGAAACCAATATTACCCTATATGTTAACTAACTAGAATTTAAATAAAAACTTGAAACAAACAAACAAAAATAGCCATAGAAAAATAGACACATAGATCAATGGAACAGAACAGAAAGGCCAGAAATAAACTCACAAGTATATGGTCAATTAATCTTCAACAAAGGAAGTATGAATAGGCAATGGGAAAAAAAACAATCTCTTCAACAAATGGTGTTGGAATAACTAAACAGCTACATTCATGAATGAAACTGAACCACTTTCTTACACTGTACACAAAAAGAAATTCAAAATGCATTAAGGACCTAAATGTGAGACAAACCATAAAAATCCAAGAAGAGAGCATAGGCAGTAATTTTCTGATATTAGCCATAACAGCATCTTTTTAGATATGTCTCCTGAGGCAAGGGAAACAAAAGCAAAGATAAACTATTGGGACTGTATTAAAATAAAAAGCTCTGCACAACAAAGGAAATAGCCAACAAACTAAAAGACAACCTACTGAATGGGAAAAGATATTTGCAAACGACATATCCAGTAAAGGGTTAGTATCCAAATATATATAAAGAACTTATACAACCCAATGCCAATAATAATAATAATCCAATTTAAAAATGGGCAGAAGACATGAACAGACCTTTCTCCTAAGAAGACATACAGACAGACAACAGACACATGGAAAGATGCTCAACATCACTCATCCTCAGGGAAATGCAAATCAAAACCACAGTGAGATACCAACTCACGCCTGTCAGAATGGCTACAAATCAAAAACTCAAGAAACAACAAGTGTTGGTGAGAATGTGGAAAAAAGGAACTCTTGCATACCTTTAGTAGGAATGCAAACTGCTGCAGCCACTGTGA